GACACTATCCTGTGAACATATTGCATTTGTTTGCTCTTTCAGTGATTAGATTAGAGGTAGGTCACTGTTTGGAACCGTATTTGTACCCACTCAGCCTGACCCATGAATTCAGCCTTGTCTATTTGCAGACATTGTTTCACAAGACTCTTGTGTTGTTAGATGGGTGACGGCTGAGATTGTTTGGACAGTGAGGGGAAGACTATATCTGGTATTTGTCAAGTTGATTATATTGCTGTCGACGACTAGACAAAGGACTAGTGCATGTACAGGAGTGACGAAGTGGTGTTATTGCCCATTAACTATCGCCCATAACCTTTTGGTCATCAGTAGTTTGTGTGCGTTGTGTTGTAACCCTGCCAAGAAAGACAGGCAAACCATACACTGTTCCCAGGTATCACTGCCCTTGTCCTGTGATGTAAGAGTGACACATCAAGTTAAACTGACCAGGGTTGTAGTTATACTGAACAAAAATATAAACGCAACATGCAACAATTTCAAAGATTTTACTGAATGACAGTTCATAAAAGGAAATCAGTCGATTTTGAAATAAATAAATTAGGCCCTAATCTATGGGTTTCACATGACTGGGCAGGGGTGCAGCCATGGGTGTGCCTTGGAGGGCATAGGCCCACCCACTGGGGAGCCAGGTCCAGCCAATCAGAATTAGTTTTTCTTACAGACAGAATACTGCTCAGCACCTACCTCCGCCTCCTCAGACAATCCCGCAGGTGAAGAAGCCGGATGTTTATGTCCTGGGCTGGCATGGTTACACATGGTCTGCGGTTGTGAGGCCCGTTGGACTTACTGCCAAATTCTCTAAAATGACATTGGAGGTGGCTTATTTTATTTTATTTATTTTTTTGTCTCTTAGCAGACGCTCTTATCCAGAGCGACTTACAGTTAGTGAGTGCATACATTTTCATACTGGCCCCCCGTGGGAATTGAACCCACAACCCTGGCGTTGCAAGCGCCATGCTCTACCAACTAACATTCAATTCTCTGGCAACAGCTCTGGTGGACAATCCTGCAGTCAGCATGCCAACTGCACGCTCCCTCAACTTGAGACATGGAATTGTGTTGTGTGACAAAACTGCACATTTTAGTGGCCTTTTATTGTCCCCAGCACAAGGTGCACCTGTGTAGTGATCATGCTGTTTAATCAGCTTCTTGATGTGCCACACCTGTCAGGTGGATGGATTATCTTGGCAAAGGAGAAATGCTCACTAACAGGGATGTAAACACATTTCTGCACAAAATTTGAGAGAAATAAGCTTTTTGTGCATATGGAACATTTCTGGGATCTTTTATTTCAGCTCGTGAAACATGGGACCAACACTTTACATGTTGCTTTTATATTTATGTTCAGTTTACACCTGTCATCTATGTAATTTACAAGTGTTGCAGTCTTTTAAATGCATTAGTCTGGCCTGGAGGTGAGCGTGTTCTATCCTATGTGCCATTTCTGGTATAAATGCAGCTACCAAACCAAATGTAATAAAGACGGTTTTGGATAGGAATTGGTGTTGTTTAGGTTGAATTGGTGTTTAAGGTTTAAGTCAGGCTTTTAAAAAAGCAGGTATCATTGCGCTCTACCTTAAACCTAAATCGTCTTGGTTTCTTAAGTCAGGCTTTTAGCATAAGTTAATGTTTGCCTGTCCGACTTTTCCATTGTCCCTCGAATTGAATTGAGCTTTTGTTGGAGTTTGAGCTTAAGACTATTTAGCCTGCTTACAGTGGAAGTTCATGCCCTAATGTTTGCTTTGGTTAGATTCTTGTAGGTGCATGAGAAATAGGTTAAACTAAGTTAAGGAAAAGGACACAAGCTTTTATCGTTTGCGTTGATTCAAACTTCTATGCAAGCCTGTCCAAGTTCAATCTTCTCCTCGGTCAGTTAGATTTTCATAGCTATATTGTTGCTTAGAGTGGAAAATAAGGCTGGTCCATGGCTTTGTATTGTCTTACATTTAAGTCATTTAGCAGACGCTCTTATCCAGAGCGACTTTCAGTTAGTGATTACATATATATATTTTTTTATACTGGCCCCCCGTGGGAATCGAACCCACAACCCTGGCGTTGCAAACGCCATGCTCTATCAACTGAGCTACATCCCTGCCGGCCATTCCCTCCCCTACCCTGGACGACGCTGGGCCAATTGTGCGCCGCCCATGAGTCTCCCGGTCGCGGCCGGCTGCGACAGAGCCTGGATTCGAACCAGGATCTCTAGACCACTGCGCCACTCAGGAGCTCTTCACACTGGTAGTCAAACACAGCTACAGAAACCAATTGGGTTGAGCTGACTTTTTACCTCTTCCAGCAGTTGTGACCTCCATTATACCTGTGAGTCATACAGGGAGGCGGAGCCTCTCTCTCTCTGGACTGAGACGCAGGCCTACAGTGAGGGGGAAAAAGTGTTGGTTTAATGGTGTGACATTAAAACGGAGGACTGGCTCATGGTAATGGCTGGAATGGAATGAATGTAAGAAACCAATTGTTTGACATCTTTATATTAATTCCATTCCAGCCATTTCAATGAGCCTGTCCTACAATTTCTCCACCCTCCACTGTGTGCAATATTTTCTCTAATCAGCTACATACATTGAGGGAAAAAAGTATTTGATCCCCTGCTGATTTTGTATGTTTGCCCACTGACAAAGAAATGATCAGTCTATAATTTTAATGGTAGGTTTATTTGAACAGTGAGAGACAGAATAACAACAAATAAATCCAGAAAAACGCATGTCAAAAATGTTATGAATTGATTTGCATTTTAATGAGGGAAATAAGTATTTGACCCCTCTGCAAAACATGACTTAGTACTTGGTGGCAAAACCCTTGTTGGCAATCACAGAGGTTAGACGTTTCTTGTAGTTGGCCACCAGGTTTGCACACATCTCAGGAGGGATTTTGTCCCACTCCTATTTGCAGATCTTCTACAAGTCATTAAGGTTTCGAGGCTGACGTTTGGCAACTCGAACCTTCAGCTCCCTCCACAGATTTTCTATGAGATTAAGGTCTGGAGACTGGCTAGGCCACTCCAGGACCTTAATGTGCTTCTTCTTGAGCCAATCCTTTGTTGCCTTGGCTGTGTGTTTTGGGTCATTGTCATGCTAGAATACCCATCCACGACCCATTTTCAATGCCCTGGCTGAGGGAAGGAGGTTCTCACCCAAGATTTGACGGTACATGGCCCCGTCCATCGTCCCTTTGATGCGGTGAAGTTGTCCTGTCCCCTTAGCAGAAAAACACCCCCAAAGCATAATGTTTCCACCTCCATGTTTGACGGTGGGGATGGTGTTCCTCCAAACAAGGTGAGTTGAATTGATGCCAAAGAGCTCGATTTTGGTCTCATCTGACCACAACACTTTCACCCAGTTCTCCTCTGAATCATTCAGATGTTCATTGGCAAACTTCAGACGGGCCTGTATATGTGCTTTCTTGAGCAGGGGGACCTTGCGGGCGCTGCAGGATTTCAATCCTTCACGGCGTAGTGTGTTACCAATTGTTGTCTTGGTGACTATGGTCCCAGCTGCCTTGAGATCATTGACAAGATCCTCCCGTGTTTTTCTGTGCTGATTCCTCACCGTTCTCATGATCATTGCAACTCCACAAGGTGAGATCTTGCATGGAGCCCCAGGCCGAGGGAGATTGACAGTCTTTTGTGTTTCTTCCATTTGTGAATAATCGCACCAACTGTTGTCACCTTCTCACCAAGCTGCTTGGCGATGGTCTTGTAGCCCATTCCAGCCTTGTGTAGGTCTACAATCTTGTCCCTGACATTCTTGGAGAGCTCTTTGGTCTTGGCCATGATGGAGAGTTTGGAATCTGATTGATTGATTGCTTCTGTGGACAGGTGTCTTTTATACAGGTAACAAACTGAGATTAGGAGCACTCCCTTTAAGAGTGTTCTCCTAATCTCAGATCGTTACCTGTATAAAAGACACCTGGGAGCCAGAAATCTTTCTGATTGAGAGGGGGTCGAATACTTATTTCCCTCATTAAAATGCAAATCAATTTATAACATTTTTTACATGCGTTTTTCTTGATTTTTTTTGTGTTTTCTGTCTCTCACTGTTCAAATAAACCTACCATTAAAATTATAGACTGATCATTTCTTTGTCAGTGGGCAAACGTACAACATCAGCAGGGGATCAAATACTTTTTTCCCTCACTGTATAGGCTGATGCATACTTCCTCTGTAAAGCACCTATATAGGAGGATATGGTGGAGTTTAAACTAGAGGAGGTTTAGCCACCCAGAACAGGGAACCACCGTGCAGTCTAATCTCAAACACACACTAAGCCTAGTTGTTTTACTCTATGACGGGGTCAATAAGAGCATAGCAGTTAGGGAAAAATAAATGTAGGCTACTTTGACTCAAATACAACAGCTCCAAAGCACCATATGTTATTCCATTGGCTCAGTTGGTTGAAACATGGCGGTTGCTTGCGTCACCGAAGTAGTGAATTCGATTCTTTAATTGGCCAAATACTGATTAATTAACTACTAAAAGATGTGTACAGTGTTGCGTTACAAACTCTTTCCAAGGCTCCCAATCTCAACCTTAGAAGTAGCCATTTACATGGAGCTGCTAAGAGAGGAGGCTTTTCAATTTTCGGGGACCCATTTTGTCTCGTGAGCGCTACATTCAAAACTACTGGCTGAAATGATACAAAACCTTTTATAATGCATCTTTAAGTGGGAACAAATTTAGCCTGACACAACTGAAAAGTCTCCTCTTACTCCCCCACACGTCGCTCCACGGGGGAGGCCATTTTTTAAACCAAAGTTTATTTTAAGACGCCACTCGCTCCCCGGCGTGAGATTAGGTCCTTTTCTCGTCTCATGTGACCTCACAGAGCGAGAGGCTAAACAGGATTTGACTGCCCCTTCCTCAGACGGTTTAGGCCAAACTGTTTTTAGAAAAGGGTGAACTTTACTTTTGTTTTTTTGTTATGAGAGGAAGAACAAAGCAGAAGTTTAAAAAATGCGTGGACGATGCAATGGAGACAAGGCTGATGGAAATGGATCATGTGATGGTAAGGAACTTAGATTTGTGTAGCCGGTAGCCACTGTAGGAATTGTAAAACACCCATGTGTGGATTATGTCACTGTGTTGGTTGAATGCAACATGGGGTGTAGATAGATGGTCTGGTGTTGTGGGTTCATTGTGCCTTGTCTATGAATGGAGGAGTAGGCTAAGCTCAGTTCAAGTGCCTTAAGCTTTTTATGGTTTCACTATGTCAGGGGGAGCGTACTTTTATATTTATGTTTTAGGCTACAATTTGAAATAAATATTATACAGAAGTTCTAGCAATGGGTTCATCCCGAGTGTAATGGAATGAAATTGTCCATTATAGGCCTATTCTATTTTCCCTAAAGTTAAAAGAAAGAAAAGTGTGCTAAAAAGTGTGACATAAGCCTGTATTTGTATCAAGTTATTCTTGAGAAATTATAATTGAAAGTAGCTTTTACAGAGATATTTGTAGGTCTAACAGGCTTCCTGTTGCGCCTCAGATGGTGCTACAGGCTGAAACAATTAAATGGGTCCCTCTGTATACAAACTACAACTTTTATAAAGCATTAATAAAGTATTCCTAAACACTTTATAGATGCTTAAATAATTTGTTAGCAAAGTCATACTAACTAGCCTGCATAAAGGGTGATCGTGATACAAAGGGTCCTTATCTGGTGCTTCGCTAAATGTGGTATAACCTTTTTGCCCTCCAGATCCTTTATATAGTATTCTGCATGACAGTTCCTTAGGGCTGACCCCATTTAGTTGACTGGTCGATTGTTTGGTCGATAGGCTGTTGGTCGACCCAGATTTCTTTAGTCGAGCACTAGCAAAAATAAAATATACACAGTACCAGTCAAAAGTTTGGACACACCTACTCATTCAAGGGTTTTTCTTTATTTTTACTATTTTCTACATTGTAGAATAATAGTGAAGACATCAAAACTATGAAATAACACATATGGAATCATGTAGTAACCAAAAAAGTGTTAAACAAATCAAATTATTTTATATTTGAGATTCTTCAAATAGCCACCCATTTCCCTTGGTTATACATGATTCCATATGTGTTATTTCATAGTTTCGATGTCTTCACTATTGTTCTACGATGTAGAAAATAGTAAAAATAAAGAAAAACCCTTGAATGAGTAGGTGTGTCCAGACTTTTGACTGGTACTATGCATGTATGTATGTATGTATGTATGTATGTATGTATGTATGTATGTATGTATGTATGTATGTATGTTTGTGTGTACAAGACACCTGTCTGATTCGCGCCTGTCTGAGTGGACTAATCCAATGTGGTGGCCATGGGGATGGTACAGTCAATCACTCTAAGACGTGCAACTGAAATTGTATATATTACATAAGAACAATGGTGCAACACGAATACAAATATTATTTTATAACAAATGCGCTTTCTACCGCATTGGATAGTGGTCACTGTTGGCTGTTCTGAAACACATCAGTGTGCTGTTGAATTGGCGCCTTTTCATAGACCACGTCGCTATGTGCATAATAGCAAAGTTAACCAGCATATTGGTGTTGAGAACAATGCGGCGGAGGCAGCAGCAGAATGAGGAGACGAGAAAACAGCCCTTGCCTTATTGTCTAAGAAAAGTGAGGAGAGGAAACCCCAACTTAATTAGGTCTATAATCAATAGCCTAACTATTAAAGTGCCTGGCTTTATAAATCATCCATATATATCTACGGAAATAAGACAGATCCTGCTTCTGTTGCCGGTTTGAGTGTTTGTTTAATAGCCTAGTGATTCAGTGAGCACCAAGCCTCAGGCAACCACATGTCAAGTAAACAATTTCACAAATGTGGCTGTTTTTAATCTTTACTTTGTTAGAACAGCGCCTCTGGTATTATTTATAATTTATTTCGTGTTTACATTTCCAAATTGTCAGAAATGATATTCATGATAATAATAATAATAACGCTTTTTCTTGATCTCCTTATTGTTGTTGTTATTATTATGATCATCGTTATAATAATAAGTAATGTCATTATCATTAGTAGGCTTAGTATAGCAGCCTTATATAATCACCATCGAGCTGTAGGCCTAAGAGCGCATCCTGTTTAGTCTTAATACCGTAACTTACTTAGGCCTATATTTCAATACTTATATAGGCTACTGTATCAATCATACGAGTCATTCATGATTTTGAAATGCAATCAAGCGTTTTAGTTTTAAAATAAAGTGAGCCTTGAATAATTAACTTAAACAATAAATAAACCGTTCCATTTTGGAATTTGCATTCACGAATGAATGCGACTGTTAGTCTTTGCTGTAATAAAGGCTTTAAAACATTTTTTACAACAGACTGTCTGGTACTCTTAGAATGTATTTAGTGTTGTTTACATTGTTCCAAACGGTCAGAAAAAGTATATTGTAATCTAACAGCACCTGTTTAGCACACATAATATGACGCAGCGTTTGCTCCTTACCTTATTTTTCTTGATCTCCAGTATTTTCCACAACTAGTCACATTTATTCCACATATCTGACTTCCCCTTTACCTCATGAGCAACCAGTAAACATTCCCCCGTTTCGAGTTTATTTGTCAGGTCCTCTGCATCCATTTTGCTGTTACGATGTTCAGAGTTTGTTATAACCAGTTTATTGATGTGATTATGATATGCTAGAGGTCAGGCCCTATTGGTCACGTGCATGCAATGCATACATGTGTCATGTAAAGAGAGCAAGGGTTGAGGGAATGTTTTTCCTAAACAAATTAGGGATTTTGGTAACAGAACTTTTCAGTCAGAAATTACTGTAATTATGTTGGAGCTTCAGCAGCAAGGACAGCGTGATTTTCTGTGGTGGTCGCTGCAGCAGGGAGGAGAGAGAGACAACAGCTGCTAGTCACACAGTCACTCGCTGTCTCTTTTTTTTTACACAGCGCAGCAAGTTTGAGCCCTGCCCGGCACAATCAATCAATTGCTGGTCGGACTCCCTCTAGTCATTTGTGTGTCTTAATAATTTAATCAAACAGTGTGCTTAAAGCATGAGACAAGCTCAGTGAACATAGTTGATTTGATTAAAACACATAGGATGTATGTATGTATGTATATGTATGTGTGTGTGTGTATATATATATATATATATATATAATGTGTCTGTGTGTGTATATATGTAACTCAGCAAAAAAAGAAACGTCCTCTCACTGTCAACTGCGTTTATTTTCAGCAAACTTAACATGTGTAAATATTTGTATGAACATAACAAGATTCAACAACTGAGACATAAACGGAACAAGTTCCACAGACATGTGACGAACAGAAATTGAATAATGTGTCCCTGAACAAAGGGGGGGTCAAAATCAAAAATAACAGTCAGTATCTGGTGTGGCCACCAGCTGCATTAAGTACTGCAGTGCATCTCCTCCTCATGGACTGCACCAGATGTGCCAGTTCTTGCTGTGAGATGTTACCCCACTCTTCCACCAAGGCACCTGCAAGTTCCCTTGACATTTCTGGAGGGAATGGCCCTAGCCCTCACCCTCCGATCCAACAGGTCCCAGTCGTGCTCAGTGGGATTGAGATCCGGGCTCTTCGCTGGCCATGGCAGAACACTGACATTCCTGTCTTGCAGGAAATCACGCACAGAACGATCAGTATGGCTGGTGGCATTGTCATGCAGGAGGGTCATGTCAGGATGAGCCTGCAGGAAGGTGAGGGAGGAGGATGTCTTCCCTGTAACGCACAGCGTTGAGATTGCCTGCAATGACAACATGCTCAGTCCTATGATGCTGTGACACACTGCCCCAGACCATGACGGACCCTCCACCTCCAAATCAATCCTGCTCCAGAGTACAGGCCTTGGTGTAACGCTCATTCCTTTCACGATAAACGCAAATCCGACTATCACCCCTGGTGAGACAAAACCGCGACTCATCAGTGAAGAGCACTTTTTGCCAGTCCTGTCTGGTCCAGCGACGGTGGGTTTTGTGCCCATAGGCGACATTGTTGCCGGTGATGTCTGGTGAGGACCTGCCTTACAACAGGCCTACAAGCCCTCAGTCCAGCCTCTCTCAGCCTATTGCGGACAGTCTGAACACTGATGGAAGGATTGTGCATTCCTGGTGTAACTCGGGCAGTTGTTGTTGCCATCCTGTACCTGTCCCGTAGGTGTAATGTTCAGATGTACCGATCCTGTGCAGGTGTTGTTACACGTGGTCTGCCACTGCGAGGACGATCAGCTGTCCGTCCTGTCTCCCTGTAGCGCTTTCTTCGGCATCTCACAGTACAGACATTGCAATTTATTGCCCTGGCCACATCTGCAGTCCTCATGCCTCCTTGCAGCATGCCTACGGCACGTTCACACAGATGAGCAGGGACCCTGGGCATTTTTCTTTTGGTGTTTTTCAGAGTCCGTAGAAAGGCCTCTTTAGTGTACTAAGTTTTCATAACTGTGACCTTAATTGCCTACCGTCTGTAAGCTGTTAGTGTCTTAACGACCTTTCCACAGTTGCATGTTCATTAATTGTTTATGGTTCATTGAACAAGCATGGGAAACAGTGTTTAAACCCTTTACAATGAAGATTTGTGAAGTTATTTGGATTTTTACCAATTATCTTTGAAAGACAGGGTCCTGGACGTTTCTTTTTTTTGCTGAGTTTATATAAAAATACACGTTTAAACATTTCAACCAATCGATTGGTGAAATTACAGAGGAGGAACTTCTGGATACAATTAAAGACTTTAAGTCCGGGAAAACTCCAGGGTTGGATGGCATACCAGTCGAGGTATACCAAACCTTTTTTGATATACTCAGAGGACCGTTATTAGAATGTTTTAACCACTCCTATGTAAACGGTAGATTATCAGACACTCAAGAAGGTCTGATTTCATTATTACTGAAACAGGATACAAGTGGAAAATATAAAGATCCAGTCCATTTAAAAAATTGGCGGCCCCTTACACTTCAGTGTTGTGATGCAAAAATTATTGCAAAATGTATAGCGCATAGAATTAAAAAGGTATTGTCGGACATTATTCATTCTAATCAGACAGGTTTTTTACATGGGCAATACATTGGAGATAATATAAGGCAAGTACTGGAAATAATAGAACACTATGAAAAATCTGGGAAACCAGGCCTACTATTCATAGCAGACTTCGAGTAGGCATTTGATAAAGTACGACTGGGGTTTATATATAAATGCCTGGAGCATTTCAATTTTGGACAATCTCTTATAAATTGGGTTAAAATCATGTATAGTAACACTAGGTGTAAAATAGTAAATAATGGCGATTTCTCCTAAAGTTTTAAACTGTCAAGAGGAGTGAAACAAGGTTGTCCTCTATCGGCATATCTATTTACTATTGCCATCAAGATGTTAGCTATTAAAATCAGATCCAACAATAATATCAAGGGATTAGAAATCCAGGGCTTAAAAACAAAGGTGTCATTGTACTCTGATGATTCATGTTTTCTTTTAAATCCACAACTTTAATCCCTCCACTGCCTCATGGAGGATCTAGATACATTTTCTAACCTCTCTGGATTACAACCAAATTATGATAAATGTACTATATTACGTATTGGATCACAAAAAAATACAATTTTTACATTATGTAGTTTACCAATAAAATGGTCTGATGGTGATGTGGATATACTCGGAATACATATCCCTAATGAAATAAATGATCTCACTCCAATACATTTTAATAGAAAGTTAGCAAAAATAGATAAGATCTTGCTACCATGGAAAGGTAAATACCTGTCAATTTGTGGAAAAATCACCCTGATTAACTCTTTAGTATTATCCCAGTTTACCTATTTGCTTATGGTCTTGCCTACGCCTAGCGAACTGTTTTTTTAATTCTATGAGAAAAAAATATTCAATTTTATTTGGAACGGCAAGCCAGACAAAATTAAAAGGGCCTATTTATATAATGAATATGAATTCGGAGGACAGAAATTATTAAATATTCAAGCATTAGACCTATCACTAAATGCTTCAGTCATACAAAAATTATACTTAAATCCGAACTGGTTCTCTAGCAAACTAGTAAGATTGTCTCACCCAATGTTCAAGAAGGGACTTTTTCCCTTTATTCAGATTACAACCCCTCACTTTCAGGTATTTGAAAAGGAAATAATCTCCCAAATATCACTATTTCTAAAACAAGCCATAGAAAGTTGGTTGCAATTTCAATTTAATCCTCCAGAAATGACAGAACAAATATTGCAACAAATATTGTGGTTAAACTCAAATATAATTATTGATTTAAATTTTATTTTATTTTTTTAGATAAAAGAAAATGATATTATCGGTAGGAATGGTGGAGTTAACAAAAACATATGGAAATGTCTGCTCTACCCAAAATTACAACCAAATAATTGCAGCATTACTGCAAAAATGGAAGAGGAAAGTGGAAGGAGGAAAAAGTAAGGAACTTGTCTGTCGGCCTTGCATTAAAGAACATAATTTGTTAAAGAAAATTGTGATAAAAATAAAAAAGTTGACCAGTTTCATTTAAGGACCAAAATATTGACAGCCGTCCCATATAGATTGCAAAATAGTTAGGAAGAGATTTTTGACGTACCGATTCCATGGCATAGTGTTTATGAACTGATACGCAAAACGACGCCGGATTCAAAACTTTGAATTTTTCAATTTAAATTATTATATAAAATTCTTGCTACCAATAGAATGTTATTTGTATGTGGGATACAATCTTCCCAGCTCTGCAGATTTGGCTGTGAAGAGACAGAATCATTAGATCATTTGTTTTGGTACCGTCCATTTGTAGCTTATTTCTGGACACAGGTCCAGGAATGGCTGAAGGATTGCAATATTTGCACGGAGCTGACCCTGCAGATAGCACTACTGGGTGATCTGAAAAGTCATAGTCAATCAATCAATAATATAATAATGCTTTTAGCAAAAATGTTTATTTTCAATTCACAAACTGTAGAAACAATGAGAATAGAAAGGTTCAGAACTTTTGTAAAACATCACAGTACAGTTGAAAAATATATGGCAAATAGAAATCCAATATGGATGGTGTTAAGAGATAGATGGGAGGTGTTGAATGGAGCTGAAGGATGGGACTAATAACAACAACTAATAACAACAAGATAACTAGTGTAAGACATGCTGTGTCCATAATAAGTATATAGTTATATATTGTGAGCTTTTGTGAAAGAGCACAGTTAGAAAGATATGGCATACCAGATGGACATCATGAAAATGATCGGAGGAAGTTCAGGAGTAAAAACAAACAAAATATAATTATTGACTGTGTGCATAAAATGTATATAGTTATGTATAAGCATGAAGTAGAGGCCTAAGTTACAATCTATCTGCAATATTAAAGCTGATCTACCCCCCCAAAAAATAAATATACAAAAATATTTTTAAAAAATCGATTGGTTGAAAGAACAGACGACTCTTGGTCGACTAAGATTTTTTTTTAGTCGGGGACAGCCCTACATTTCCTTATGAATCCTAACCCCCACCTCTTTTCTCCGTTGTCCTCCAGGGCGACGCCAGGGGCCAGCTGGTGTCGGAGCGGCTGGGCCTGGGCCACAATCTGGACCTGTCGGACACCATGGTGCAGCAGAAGCTGGACGAGATCAAGGAGCAGATCCGCCGCGAGATCCGCAAAGAGCTGAAGATCAAGGAGGGTGCGGAGAACTTGCGGAAGGTCACCACGGACAAGAAGAGCCTGGCCTACGTGGACAATATGCTGAAGAAGTCCAACAAGAAGGTGGAGGAGCTCCACCAGGAGCTCCAGGAGCTCAACGCCCACATCGTGGTCAAGGACCCCGACGACCTGCTAGGTATGGCTATTTTTCATGGTGCGTGGGAGTAACTAGGGTTGCCAAACTCTTGAAACTTTCCCAGGTTTTTCAGAAATCCCCGGTTGGAGGATCCCCAGTTGGAGGATCCCCAGTTGGAGGATTCACTCGCTGCTTATTCCCTCCGGATTTCGGGAATCCTTCAACAGGGATTTTGTGAAAAAACTGGGAACTTTAGGGGATGTAGCCTATGTGAAACTGTTCTTTTGATATGTGGTGTATGTACTGAACGCTTTCCCCCCTCGTCTGTCATGTTTCACATAGTCTAAAGTGAATTAAGTGGAATACAGTACCCAAGTTCACTTCAGGTGTGGTATGTCTTGGTACAAGGACACTCAATACATGATACAGCACATAATTACACATTTGACAGCAGCAACACAAGTCCACACAATGCATGACAAATGCACAGAATACACAAATAGGACCCACACACAATGAATGCGCTCTATTGTGGTGACTCATCTTCTATGAGCTGACACTGATACGTTCCATATTCCTTATTGTGAGATGGAATGGGTTTGTCTGTCTGTGCTATGGCATTTCCTACTCCGTAGACATTGGAAATGGGAGGGGGGTGGGTTTCTATATGTACAGTGAGGGGAAAAAAGTATTTGATCCCCTGCTGATTTTGTATGTTTGCCCACAGACAAAGACATAATCAGTCTATAACAGTGAGAGACAGAATAACAACAAAAAAATCCAGAAAAACACATGTCAAAAATGTGTGTTGGGTCATTGTCATGCTGGAATACCCATCCACGACCCATTTTCAATGCCCTGGCTGAGGGAAGGAGGTTCTCACCCAAGATCTGACGGTACATGGCCCCGTCCATCGTCCCTTTGATGCGGTGAAGTTGTCCTGTCCCCTTAGCAGAAAAACACCCCCAAAGCATAATGTTTCCACCTCCATGTTTGACGGTGGGGATGGTGTTCTTGGGGTCATAGGCAGCATTCCTCCTCCTCCAAACACGGCGAGTTGAGTTGATGCCAAAGAGCTCGATTTTGGTCTCATCTGACCACAACACTTTCACCCAGTTCTCTGAATCATTCAGATGTTCATTGGCATACTTCAGACGGGCCTGTATATGTGCTTTCTTGAGCAGGGGGACCTTGCGGGCGCTGCAGGATTTCAGTCCTTCACGGCGTAGTGTGTTACCAATTGTTTTCTTGGTGACTATGGTCCCAGCTGCCTTGAGATCATTGACAAGATCATCCCATGTAGTTCTGGGCTGATTCCTCACCGTTCTCATGATCATTGCAACTCCACGAGGTGAGATCTTGCATGGAGCCCCAGGCTGAGGGAGATTGACAGTTCTTTTGTGTTTCTTCCATTTACGAATAATCGCACCAACTGTTGTCACCTTCTCACCAAGCTGCTTGGCGATGGTCTTGTAGCCCATTCCAGCCTTGTGTAGGTCTACAATCTTGTCCCTGACATCCTTGGCCATGGTGGAGAGTTTGGAATCTGATTGATTGATTGCTTCTGTGGACAGGTGTCTTTTATGTTGGGGTGGCAGGTAGCTTAGTGGTTAAGAGCGTTGTGCCAGTAACCGAAAGGTCGCTGGTTCTAATCCCCGAGCCGACTTGGTGAAAAATCTGTCGATGTGCCTTGGGCAAGGCACTTAACCCTAATTGCTCATGTAAGTCGCTCTGGATAAGAGCGTCTGCTAAATGACTAAAATGTAAATGTTATACAGGTAACAAACTGAGATGAGCTCCTAATCTCAGCTCGTTACCTGTATAAAAGACACCTGGGAGCCAGAAATCTTTCTGATTGAGAGGGGGTCAAATACTTATTTCTCTCATTAAAATGCAAATCAATTTATAACATTTTTGACATGCATTTTTCTGAATATTTTTGTTGTTAATCTGTCTCTCACTGTTCAAATAAACCTACCATTCAAATTATAGACTGATCATTTCTTTGTTAGTGGGCAAACGTACAAAATCAGCAGGGGATCAAATACTTTTTTCCCTCACTGTAATGGTAGTCTTAAAGATATTGAACGGGATCTTAAGCACTTAAAAATTCGTAACATATTGTACAAATTGGAATTCATAACATATTTTTTATTTTAAAAACTTGCTAGGACGTAACATATCATACAAAATGGATGACGTTGTTCATAATTTTGCACAATTTCTGGGGACCCATTTTGTCTCGTGAGCGCTACATTCAAAACTTCTGGCTGAAATGATACAAAACCTTTATAATGCATCTTTAAGTGGGAACAAATTTAGCCTGACACATTGAACCCTTATCTGATGAGGAAGGTGTTTTGTTCAATGACGCATGGCCAGTGGAATGTTGCGGATGTGGGAACTGACCTCAAGCCAAGTTCTAGAGCAACGGGGGGGGGGTCTGCTTAACTTCTGCCCTCCACAACTGATGTCAGATCACCTCCCCCTTTCTTCACTCCCAGCCTTAACGAAACAAGTCTTAGGTCAGTTGTTAAATAAGGATGTCACTGTATGTGTCGCATTCTCCCCTATGTGTGGCTGACCTGGGATCAGACATTGGGCCAGGGGAGGGTTCCCCTGTCAGCGCTCCAGGAGTGACATCACCCTGCTTGATATTCATTTTAGTTTTTTACATTTGTCATTTAGCAGACGCTCTTATCCAGAGCGACTTACAGTAGTGAGTGCATACATGTTCATACTTTTTGTGCTGGATCCCCGTGGGAAACGAACTCACAACCCTGGCGTTGCAAGCGCCATGCTCTACCAACTGAGCCACATGGGACCATATTCAATGGCTCAGCTGTCTGCTGGTCCAGCGGGGGCTGTGTGGAGGAGAAGGCCCTTGACTGCTTGGCTCGTCCTGACCCCGACCAAACCCCTCTCTTCTCGAGGGAAGCCCTGGCTCACAGGCACACACACACTCATACAAACACACGGATACACATGGATATACACATACATACACACACACACACACACACACACAAATAATTGAAAGTTAGTTAGGACTACAATACATTACACACACACACACAGACACACACAACATAGCTGAGTATCCACCGTTTATATTTGCATCTGCTGACCCTCTGTCTATCTGAGCTTGAACACAGTTCAATCATTTGTCGGAGGAATCTTGCGGACCCATAATCTCTCTCAATAACGCTAATTTAGCAGACGACTTTATGACTGGTGCTGCCTAGAGCAACCTGACGTACTCTCCTTCATATCCCCCATTTAGATCAACCACAGAGATGCACTGCCCCGGTTAATGGCTGATTTAATTAATAATTAGACTATGTTTGAATGAATCGGTGACCTTCTGAGGCGTCTCCAGAGACACCGATGTTTAACAGGATGTGCTTCTCACGCTAAAGTGGTGTGTGATACTTGAATGCTAACTGTGGTTAGCGCTGTTGACTGGGTATAGGCCTAGAGCTAGTTAGCGGTGGCATATGTTGGTCAGCTGTGGTGCCATTTCAGCACAGGAGGATGGTGACACCTTAATTGGGGAGGACGGGCTCGTGGTAATGGCTGGAGCGGAATATGTGGAATGCTATCAAATACATCAAACATGGTTTCTATGTGTTTGATGCCATTCCATTTGCTACGTTCCAGCCATTATTGTGAGCCGTCCTCCCCTCAGCAGCCTCCACTGCATTTTGGTGTAGCATTGCAGGTGGGATGTGACGCTGTGGAATCAAGTCAATTCCACATTTTCACATTTTGATTAGACCTTTTTATTTCTCAGTTCTAATTTAACTGTAAATTGAAATTAAATCTAGCCCTCAAAGTAAGAGCACAGTTTACCTCAAACTGTCACCAAGATGACGGTAAGAGACAGTAGAAGTCAGTCAGGCAGAGTTTTTCCCACCTGTGTGTGAAGAAGCAAGCGTTTGCTCAGTACTCGTCTCGGGGTGTAGTGGTGAGGAGGGGTTCAACCCAGGCACAAAAAGCAGTGAGCTCAGCACGTTTTGTTTTTGGAGGGAAGGAGGGGGCTGTGCATGCTGCACCAGACACAATAGCCCCTGGGGCAGGACAAGCGCATGGAGTTCCTGGGTGGCAAAACCGTAGCGAAACGCTTTGGAATTGAAAATGAACTTGAGCGTTTCTTATTGGACACCTTCAGGTGTGTTTGACGTGTTCGTCCATTTTCTTCTGTTTTGTGCCTAATGAACACGACCCCGGCTTAAAGCAACAAGGGCCTGTCAGTCATACCATAAATGTGCATGTCATATTTGCATGTACAGGAACGTCACATCTAGTGTTTAGCAAGTTCATGCTTGTTTTTCTCCAGAGACTGCTACAGGGTTCCCCTAACTTCTGTGCTGTTTGGAACAGAAATCCCAACTTTTCAGGGCATTTTAGTAAAGCATCTAGTGTACAAACAAGAATTCCCCGTCTTCAATAGTTTTCATACCAACAGACAGGGATGTAAATTACTTTTCAGACTGGGCTGGTAGAAAATGTGCCCAACTAGCCCGTGGGATAGTGAAATTTTTGTATTTTCAAATATCCCATGGCACAGATTTTCGACCTGGGCTAGTAAAGATTTCAGTTTGCTGGCCAGTGTCCAAAATCCTTAAATTCCATCCCTGCCAACAGGCCTTCTGTTTTTACACTAATTGCTTTGTTGTAGATGGTAAACGACACCCAGATCAATATGGCTGCATTGAACAAGATGAGAAATGCATTATGGCCAACTCGAAGACCTCCCTTCATACAAGTCTTTGAATGTTGTAGCTAATGAACATGCAAACTTTATTGTTGTATTGTAAGAGCTTTAATGGTTTTAATATCCAAGCTTCATATCTTCCCTTCCGATCTTCTACCTTTGTTTCTAGAGTGCCCTTTGACCCCGGACACCCCAGCTAGCGAAGCAAGGATGTGCACCAGCAGCAGCCGCCTGGCCGCCCTGAAGAAGCAGAACGACATTGAGCTGAAGGTCAAACAAGGGGCGGAGAATATGATCCAGATGTACTCCAATGGCTCTTCCAAGGTACGCCCACTGACCTCTTGACCAGCATAAACAATAATTAGCAGTACAAATATTAGCAGAGTATTAGCAGGCCTTATTTAGCTCTGCACTGGTTGCTAAGGTGTAGAATGCGGATGAATTCAGCTAATATCATACAGCACTAATACAGTAGGGATGTTAGCGCTAAGGTATGGAATGTTAGCAACCTCAGTGCTACCTACAAGCTATGGCGTATTAGCTGAGTTCTATTCGCTAAGGTGCCCATTGCTAAAATCAGCCATAGCTGACTCTGTGAGCACTGTATAATATCAAGGTATGGAATGTTGGCAACCCCCGGTCAGCGCTCCCATGCTGGAGCGCCTGGAGAAAGTGGCACCATCCTGTGGGAAATAGCATGGCCTGATGATGTCAGCCAGGAAATGCCTGTCAGACGGAAGCCTTTCCTGCCCTCTACGCCGGCACGGCATAGCATAGCGCGCTCCGCCACCAGAGGAATTCTGGGTGGAGTCGACTAGTTTACTCCACGGGCCAGTGTGTGCGTGCATCAACTCGAGGGTCACCGATAACACAATGACATTCTACTTTTGCCTGAGGTGAATAACTTTTTCCATGAGTTCATTGAAAACTTTTGCTCCACTTAAGGTCATGATTTGACGAGACCTTGTTCGGATTGGGTAACCCACACGCACACAGACACACACATTCTGTCTGAAGTATGATGCGGAATTTGGGTCAGGTGTTTTGTGTTCTTATACTCATGAATTTTCAGGAAGAAATGCTGTTTAGATCAGATGTTGATCAATGTCACAACGTCCAGTTAGTTACCTTAATTATAGACGCCTATATATACCTGTTGGTGATGATTTGTTTTTTTTTGGGTCTTTACTTTCTGCTCAGGACCGGAAATTGCTAGCGACTGCTCAACAGATGCTGCAGGACAGCAAGACAAAGATTGAGTTCATTAGGATGCAGATCCTCAAAGGCAGCCAGGCCAGCGAGTTGAGCTTCGATAACAATGACGTCATGGGTGAGACACACACACACCTGCCTGTGACTCATTCTGGCCGTGGCCTCCTGTTCTGTGTTATCCCCTTTGACACATATGGAGACACACACACACACACACACACACACACACACACACACACACACACACACACACACACACACACACACACACACACACACACAGTGGATTCACAAATTACCTTCCATCCTAAATAACTACTCACTGTGTGATCCAGATGAGGGATTTTGCACCTCCTCTCCTCAAACACCCTGATAGTCTCTCTAACAAGGTCCTCTTCCTCCAGCCAAGCCCATCGTCAGCCCGTTGGACCTACGGGTGGAGGAGCTGTGTCACCACGCCAGGATAGAGTCAGCCGTGGCCGAGGGCGCCAAGAACGTCATGAAGCTCCTGGGCTCTGGCAAGGTCACGGAGAAGAGGGCACACTCAGAGGTACAGACCACAACCCTAGTTGAGTAGGAGTGCTGATCTAGGATCAGGTCCCCCCCGTCTATATAATTAGGATCTAAAAGGCTAAACTGATCCTAGATCAACACTCCTACCCTGGCCCCATAAACAACTAGACAAAAAATATTTTTCGAAAGCTATTCCTAAACCCTTAGTCAACTCACTGCTCAACAAACTTATGCCCAAAATGGGAGCAAACGCTTTCAAAATGTCTGGGCGTGCCTGTTGGACAAACTAAAGTATACAAAATCCCCTTTCTGTCTGTAAACTTGTTTTTTGCTGGATCAGTATGAGAGCAAACATATTTACAAGTCGAAAACAATAAAATGAGTACCTTCTGAGTTTTCACCCATTTCGTGAAGATGCCCCTGTTTTGACCCTTGACCTTGCTGTTCTCCCCAGGCCCAGGCCCGCTTTAACGAGTCCAGTCAGAAGCTGGACCTGCTCAAGTATTCCCTGGAGCAGAGGCTGAGTGAGCTGCCCAAGAACCACCCTCGCAGCAGCAGCATCGTGCAGGAGCTGTCCCTCATGGCCTCGCCCGCCCTCAGCCCGCGCTCCAGCATCATCTCCACCCAGAACCAGTACAGCACCGTGGCCAAGCCCGCCGCACTCACAGGTAAAAGCGCCCATATCCCACAGCAGTGGTCACCAGTTGCCTACTGTAAAAACCTCTGAATGTAGGGCTGAATCTAAACTTGAGATATGCACCTGTTAATCATGTCAATGGAAGATTTGTGCGAAAACTTGACTTACAAAGATCTCAAGTTCTAGCCTTTTATGTACTGGCATTTTGGGATTTCAGTCTTTAAAAAAGTATGCAGTTACCAATATATCAAGACAGTATTGCTGTAGTACTGTGCTTAGCCTGGCCTTATAAAATCTATCACTTTATGATAAAAATCTCTCGTCTCCCACAGGCACGTTAGACGTCAGGCTCATGGGCTGCCAGGACCTGCTGGAGAACGTTCCGGGTCGTTCCAAAGCCGGTTCCGTGCCGCTGCCTTGCTGGAGCCCCAGCGAGACCCGCTCCTCCTTCATGAGCCGGGGGAAACCGCAACCGAGGTGCCAGCGCACGGAACCTCTCCAAGAGTGAAGACCTCTCCAGTGAGTTTCCTAACACCAGCATTCTCTCCTACTATCAGCCCTCGATCAATAACTTAATCCATTGATAACTTTTTTTTCCAAGGATTTACGATGTAAAATATTTATACATAGTTGTCTGAAATTGCACTATTTCTGACCAGGGCCCATTTTCAGACGCAGCCATATACACACTTGACAAAAGCACATTGGAGAAACCTGAAACCTGTCCAGTGACTGATTACCCCTGCCATCATCCCTTCTGCTTGAGAGCATGGGTTGTAGCAGAGCTATAAATATACAGAAACCACTGCACTCTATATGTAGTGTATCCTAAAGGAAGAACACCATGTTCATTTAAATGTAATGTCATGTATGAACTGTAATATGTACATTTTGGGCAGGAAATGGTATTCAATCTTTGCGTTGCTCTCCAGATGAAATCAGTGCTGTGCTGAAGCTGGACAATACAGTGGTGGGACAAACCAACTGGAGACCTGTTAGTAACCAGTCCTGGGATCAGAAGTTTACACTGGAGCTGGACAGGGTACACACACACACACACAAACCTCATTATCTGGCAGCCAGTTTAATGTAGGTGTTTTCTACAACAATATGTGTTATAAGGAGAAGACTATTATGCAGTTCACCAGACTCTAGTTAAATAATCGCCTCCAAATTAAATCACAATGCACCACGAAAATGTTGCCCTATGAATACTTGACTTTGCTTGTGTGTGTGTGTGCGCTTGACCTTGTGCGCTTGACCTTGTGTGCATTGTTTGACCTGCAGTCTCGTGAGCTGGAGATCTCGGTGTACTGGAGAGACTGGCGCTCGCTGTGTGCCGTCAAGTTCCTGCGACTGGAGGACTTCCTGGACAACCAGCGTCATGGCATGTGTCTCTACCTGGAGCCCCAGGGAACCCTGTTCGCAGAGGTATCCCACTTTGATACTACACCAGGGTTGTGTTCATGAACTGAAGGGGACTATCTGGACATGTCCAATAAGAGATGCTCATTTTAGTTTTCGGTGCTAGCGGTTTTAAATGTTTTCCTTGCTTGCCCTAATGATGAAGTCTGTTTGCTTGGTTGTCCTGTATGTCTCCTCCAAACTATGGATTTTTATTCAGGTCACATTTTTCACCCCTGTCATTGAGCGGCGACCCAAACTGCAGAGACAAAAAAAGATATTCTCAAAGCAGCAAGGTAACTCGTCATTTTCTGAGAAAACACAAAAATAGAGGCCAAAGCAGAATACAATTTACTTCATACTCAACAGGAGAAAAACTTGACATGTTTTTTATGGAACATATTCATTAATTCCAAATGAAATGTAAATTAGTCTGAGATATCACATATCTGCTTTGGTTTTCAGGACATTATTTATTGTCCTCTTTGGACGGTTTAATTATGTCTCTTCCACTAAATAAAGGGTAGTCAAATAGTGGTCTCCATGACCCATATTATCTCCATGATCACCCCCGGTCATAAGGTCTGTAGGGGTGTTGTGAGGATTAGTGTTCCCCGTCTGGCTTTGTGACCGGTGTTAAGGAGGTTAGTGTGTCACTGACCTATATCCTGTGTCCCTCCTCAGGGAAGACGTTCCTGCGTGCTCCTCAAATGAACATCAACATCGCCACCTGGGGCCGCCTGGTCAGGAGGGCCATACCAACCGGTAGCAGCCCACAGGTGCCTGAGACCGGGCCCAGCAGTCTGCCGGGATCTCCAACACCCACCAGGTATATATAAAACAGGCATGAATTCACACTGTTGCTTGTATACACACACACACACACACACACACACACTGTCACAAATGCCAGAGACCTTCCTAACATCTTCACACATACACAGTCTGTAGACTCTCTCATTAAGATGTGGCACCTTTCTTTCCAGTGCCATTAGTGAACCGTTGGTGACCAAGCTGGACTTTGACAAAGAGCCCACCCCGGGACCCAAGCACTACCCTGTACCCGCTGGCATCAGAGAACCACTGGCACGGGACAACAAACTGCCCGACAAGGAGGAAGTACAGGTACAGACATGGGTTACCATGGAGATGCCTGATAGAGGAAGTAGTGCACATGTAGTCATATACGATAATGGTTATGATAATGGTTATGATAGTGGGAATGGTCATCCCAGTTCAAGCAAATTAAAACATACAAAAACGGTCAATGGAAACCTGGGTCATGTTCAATGAAAACGTTTTGAAACGGGGATGTACTGCCTGAATCCCAACTCAACTTTTTCCGTTGCAAAACATTTTGCTACATTGTGCCATACTGAACACAACCACACTGCCCCATCCTCCTAAAAAGTCTGTTCTGCCGTTGCAGGACGCCCTGGCATCGTTTGACTTCCTGAACAAGAGGAACAGCATAGCGGTGAAGTCGTCGGACCTAGACCGACTAGACAAGGTAGTAGAGCAGGAGATCCAGCCTCCAGACCTGGAGCTCACAGCCATACAGAAGGAGATACGGTAGGGCTCACTGATAAAGGACATGATTGCAGTTGGACTGCGCAGAATCACTGATTTACAAATAATTACTCTTTATGAGCTCAAGATCAGCAATTCTGTGCCTCTCAAATAGGCTGAAGCGACTCAAATATTGTTTTAACTGTTTGAGGACATTTTCTGGAGAAAATGATGCATTCATGACACACTTTTAACAGATGTTTGTTTTTGATTGATTGGTTATAATTAGTTTATTGGGGGCAGTGTATTGTTCCCAACTTCCATGAGAAAGTGCATGTTTTTACCTCTTAATTGATTGGTTATTATCTTATTGAAAGTAATACTTATTTTTTTACATTTTAGTCATTTAGCAGACGCTCTTATCCAGAGCGACTTACAGTAGTGAGTGCATACATTTTCAGAGTTTTTTTTTTCCCCCCGTTATATGATCCTCCGTGGGAATCGAACCCAGAATCCTGGTGTTGCAACCACCATGCTCTACCAACTGAGCCACACTGGACCCCAGTAGTTTGTCTTTGTATTTTTCCATTGAATATATGATATCTAATGTACATCTACCTCCATTTCCAGGGAAGAAGAACAATTTCAGTTTAGTCTCAGAGACTTCAAATGTGTTGCAGTCCTTGGCCGTGGTCATTTTGGAAAGGTACGTGGCACACACCAAAACCCATTTCTCGATGCCAGGGCTCTCCAACCCTGTTCCTGGAGAGTTACCCTTCTGTAGGTTTACTTTCCAACCCTGTTCCTGGAGAGCTACCCTCCTGTAGGTTTACTTTTCCAACCCTGTTCCTGGAGAGCTACCCTCCTGTAGGTTTTCACTCCAACCCTGTTCCTGGAGAGCTACCCTCCTGTAGGTTTTTGCTCCAACCCTGTTCATGGAGAGCTACCCTCCTGTAGGTTTTCACTCCAACCCTGTTCCTGGAGAGCTACCCTCCTGTAGGTGTTCACTCGAAGCTTGTTCCTGGAGAGCTACCCTCCTGTAGGTTTTATCTCCAAATCTGTTTCCCGGAGAGCTAACAGTCATGTAGGTTTTTTGCTCAACCTGTTCCTGGAGAACGCTGGACCCTGCCTTGTACCGGTTTTGGCTCCAACCCTGTTCATGGAGAACTCGACCCAGTACTATGTTCTTTTTATTTGTTGCGCATGAAAGTATAGATTCTAAGACCAGGTTACTCATTTCCAGGTGAAGGAAGAAAAGTTCCATTTATCTCAGAGCCAAATGTGTTGCTTTGTCCTTGGCAACGTGTACATTTTCGACAAGGTACGTGGCAGATTGATCCCAACCATTCTCATGCCAAGGGCTCTAAGTGTTCTGGAAGTGACCAATTCTAATAGAAGGTGAGCTTAATGCCCTGTTCCATAGAAAGGTACTTGTAGGTCATTCACATAAACGGTGAGCCTGAGAGTGTCATCCTCACTAGAAGGTGAGCACTCAATGTCTTTCCAAGAAGTAGCTCCTGAGTGTCTTTCACCTGAATGAGCTATGGAGTGTACTTCTCATAGAAGGTTTTCACTCAATCCGTTCCATGAAGGTGACCTACTAGATGTGTCTTCCATAGAAAGGTGGATAGATGGTACCTTCCATGAAGGTAGTTAGTGTTTCACTCAAACGGTTGACTTAGAGGTCTTCACTCTAGTAAGGTGAGCTCATGAGCTTTCACTGAAGAGTACATCATGTGTCTTTCACTCAACGTAGCTAGAGTGTCCTTCACTAGAAATGAGTTGATTGTCCATTCACATGAGAAGGTGAGCATAGATGTTCTTCACATAGAGGTGAGCTTGAGTGTGTCTCACAGAAAGTGTGAGCCTGCCATGAGAGTTTGGAACCATGTCATCATAGAAAGTGAGAAGATGTGTCATTCACATAGAAAGGAGCTCAACAGTGTCATTCACTAGAAAGGTGGCTTGATTGTCATTCACATAGAAGGTGAGCTTAGCATGTGTATCAATAGAAAGGGAGCATAGATGTTCATCACATAGAAAGGGAGTATAATTGTGTCTGCAATAGGAAGGTGAAGGGCTCAACTGTGTCATTCACATAAAAGTAGGCTCAGAAAGTATGATGTTCTTTCAATAGAAAGTGGTTAGATGGTCATAACATTGACAGTTGGTCATAGACTGTGTATTCATTCAGAAGGTGAGCTAAGATGTCATAATAGAAAGGTGATTATAGTGTGTCATTCAATAGAAGTAGCTTAGATGTGTCTCACATAGAAAGGTGAGCTAAATGTTTCACATAGAAAGGTGAGCTATAGATGTGTCATTCACATAGAAAGGTGAGCTATAGATGTGTCATTCACATAGAAAGGTGAGCTATAGATGTGTCATTCACATAGAAAGGTGAGCTATAGATGTGTCATTCACATAGAAAGGTGAGCTATAGATGTGTCTTCACATAGAAAGGTGAGCTATAGATGTGTCTTTCACATAGAAAGGTGAGCTATAGATGTGTCATTCACATAGAAAGGTGAGCTATAGATGTGTCATTCACATAGAAAGGTGAGCTATAGATGTGTCATTCACATAGAAAGGTGAGCTATAGATGTGTCATTCACATAGAAAGCGAGTCCTGATAAGCGGTAGGTCGTTTTTATGTCCTTTTTTTGTGGTCTTTTTACTTTTGGTTTTGTACACCAGCTCAAAACAGCTGAAAATACCATATTTTTGGTTATTGAAGACATTTCACAGGTGTTTAGATGGTACAAGGATTCTCTAAAACAGGGCTCTCCAACCCTGTACCCAGAGAGCTACCCCCGTAAGTTCAACCCAACCCCAATTAAAACTATCAACCAGCTAACTATTAGAGTCAGCTGCACTAGATTAGGGTTGGAGTGAAAACCTACAGGACGGTAGCTCTCCAGGAACAGGGTTGGAGAGCCCTGCTCTACACTATACATTGGTTGTTTTGTCAAATAAACTGAAATTAGTTGAGTATTTTAGATTTTTAGAAACCAGGCGCTGGTAGAGGGATTTCTACATATTGCTCCTTTAACAGTTGATGCTGTTTTCCATCTGGGGAAAGATATAAGATATTAGCTCAGCTTTCTAACCACAAGTTTGGGCTGATTTTGTTTAATTTCACTAATTTCAGGAATTTATTTATACATGGATTTAAGTAGCATTACATTTATTTTCTTGTAATCTAAGAAAAGCCTTGCCCAGGTATCAGGTATCAGTGGCTTACGTCGTTGTCTCTCGGTCTTCCCCCCCAGTCTGATGTGTGAGAAGCGTATCTTTGAGACGGTGAACAGTGTGCGCCACCCGTTCCTGGTCAACCTCTTTGCCTGCTTCCAAACGCAGGAGCACGTGTGCTTCGTCATGGAGTATGCTGCCGGGGGAGACCTGATGATGCACATCCACTCTGACGTCTTCTCAGAGCCCAGGGCCATGTGAGTGACACAATTACAAAAATATCTTATATGCTTTAAAGCAGAACTCAGCTGTTGAAAAAATAACAAAGCCTCTCCTGCCCCTGTTTCACTAAAAAGCTAAGGGATGGGGCTGGAGAAATGAAATCACTCTCAAATGTATAGACAGAGCTATGGATGCAAGGACTGACCATCCATTATATCTAAATTATAGTTTTAACCATGTTTTGAGGCTGTATAGTGTTTGTTTACATTTACGTTGTTTACAAACATTGGAGTAAAACAAGCTTATATTTTGGGCTCTGATGAGGTACGACAGTTGAACTAAGTTCATGAGGCATTTATAAGTTATATTCTTCCAGAATCAATGGACACATATTATTAATTTATAAGTCCAAAAATGGATGTAGCAACTGCAGATTGCCCCTTTTTTAAAGCTAGAATCCTTCATGGTGAAACTGCCACGTCCATTTGTGATATTACAACAGAAGTTACTGCAAACAACAGTTTTTTTTTCTTCCTTCTCTGACATCATTGCACTTGTGACAGAACAGCAGCATATGTACTTTTTACCACGATGCTCCCCAGCTCTGCTTGTCAACAAAACGGCAATGGGGCAGATAGTGGCGCTGTTTCCCCTACTGTGAATTTAATCTTTAAGGTATTTTTGTCTAGTAGTAATATGAAGGTTCACTTGCTTTATGAGCACCAAGATTATCTTCTGGGTTAACCGGCTTTGAAATAGTGTCTTAAGTGCTCACCTCCATATCCAGTGTCTTGTTTTCAGTGGTACCCTGAATCAGCGGTACCCTAAATCAGTGGTACCCTGAATCAGCGGTACCCTAAATCAGTGGTACCCTGAATCAGTGGTACCCTGAATCAGCGGTACCCTAAATCAGTGGTACCCTGAATCAGCGGTACCCTAAATCAGTGGTACCCTGAATCAGCGGTACCCTGAATCAGTGGTACCCTGAATCAGCGGTACCCTAAATCAGTGGTACCCTGAATCAGCGGTACCCTGAATCAGTGGTACCCTGAATCAGCGGTACCCTAAATCATAAAGTGGATTCTCTTCTCATTTTCTCTGATTCCTTGCTGAAATCCGCTCCCAACTAATCCACCAAATCTTTTTTTTCTCTCTCTCTTTTGTAGATTTTATGCAGCTTGTGTCGTATTGGGATTACAGTTTTTACATGAACATAAGATTGTGTACAGGTAATGATTCCATAATTCCATTCACTGGGTGAATATATGCCCTGTTATAATATATTGATGCTGATTCTCATGATTTATTTATTTTTGTTTTACTTTCAGAGATCTGAAGCTTGACAATCTGCTCTTGGACACTGAGGGCTATGTAAAAATAGCTGACTTTGGCCTGTGCAAAGAGGGTAAATGGGACAAAAACAACACAACCTCAACTTAATGTCATCTCTCACTGTTCCAACACCATTGAATGTAAAATAAATGTATAATAACCTTACCCTGAATTAGTCAAAAGTCTAATTCGGAAAGTATTCAGACCCCTTGACTCTTTCCACATTTTGTTACGTTACAGCCTTATTCTAAAATTGATTAAATATACATATTTTTTTCAGCAATCTACACACAATACCTCATAATGACAAAGCGAAAACAGGTTTTTAGATCATTTTGCAAATGTATAAAAATAAAATAACATTCCTTACTTACATAAGTATTCAGACCCTTTGCAATGAGACTCGAAATTGAGCTCAGGTGCATCCTGTTTCCATTGATCATCCTTGAGATGTTGCTACAACTTGATTGGCGTCCACCTGTGGTAAATTCAATTGATTGGACATGATATGGAAAGGCACACACCTGTCTAAATAAGGTCCCACAGTTGACAGTGCATGTCAGAGCAAAAACCAAGCCATGAGGTCGAAGGAATTGTCCATAGGGATTAGAGGCACAGATCTGGGGAAGGGTACAAAAAAATTTATGCAGCCATGAAGGTCCCCAAGAACACAGTGGCCTCCATCATTCTTAAATAGAAGAAGTTTGGAACCACCAAGACTCTTCCTAGAGCTGGCCGCCCGGCCAAACTGAGCAATAGGGGGAGAAGGGCCTTGGTCAGGGAGGTGACCAAGAACCCTATGGTCACTCTGACAGAGCTCTAGAGTTTCTCTGTAGAGATGGGAGAACCTTCCAGAAGGACAACCATCTCTGCAGCACTCCACCAATCAGGCCTTTATGGTAGAGTGGCCAGATGGAAGCCACTCTTCAGTAAAAGGACATGACAGCCCGATTGGAGTTTGCCAAAAGGCATCTAAATACTCTGACCATGAGAAACAAGATTCTCTGGATTGATGAAACCAAGATTGAACTCTTTGGCCTGAATGCCAAGCGTCACATCTGGAGGAAACCTGGCACCATTCGTACGGTGAAGCATGGTGGTGGAAGCATCATGCTGTGGGGATGTTTTTCAGGGGAAGGGACTGGGAGACTAGTCAGTATCGAGGCAAAGATGAATGGAGCAAAGTACAGAGAGATACTTCTATTATTTTTTACAGTCTTGTTCCATCACTGCAACTCACGTACAGACTTGGGAGAGGCGAAGGTCGAGAGCCATGCGTCCTCCGAAACACGACCCCGCCAAGCCGCACCCCGCGAAGTCAGCGTGCATGCGCCCGGCCGCCACAAGGAGTCGCTAGAGCGCGATGGGACAAGGACATCCCAGCCGGCCAAACCCTCCCCTAACCCGGACGACGCTGGGCCAATTGTGCGCCGCTTCATGGGTCTCCCGGTCGCAGCTGGCTGCGACACAGCCCGGGATCGCCCCTGGATCTGTAGTGATGCCTCTAGTACTGCAATGCAGTGCCTTAGACCTCTGCGCCACTCGGGAGGCCTGTCAGAGAGATCCTTGATGAAAACCTGCTCAGGACCTCAGACTGGGCAATGGTTCACCTTCCAACAGGACAACGACCCTAAGCACACAGCCAAGACAACACAGGAGTGGCTTCGGGACAAGTCTCTGAATGTCCTTGAGTGGCCCAGCCAGATCCCGGACTTGAACCTGATTGAACATCACTGGAGAGACCTGAAAATAGCTGTGCAGCGACGCTCCCCATCCAACCTGACAGAGCTTGAGAGGATCTGCAGAGAAGAATGGGAGAAACTTCCCAAATACAGGTGTGCCAAGCTTGTAGTGTCATACCCAAGAAGACTCGAGGCTGTAATCGCTGAGTAAAGGGTCTGAATAATTATGTAAATGTAATATTTCCGTTTTTTATTTTCTCAAAACCTGTTTTTGCTTTGTCATTATGGGTTATTGTGTGTAGATTGATGGGGGGGAACAATTTTAATGAATTTTACAATAAGGCTGTAATGTAACAAAGTGGGGTCAAGGGGTCTGAATAATTTCCGAATGCACTGTAAGGTCTACAGTATGCTGATCTGAAACTTATGTGCATGTCAGATTTCCATGTCTGTGTGGACAGTAAAGTTTCTGTACTAAACATGTCTTGGTTATGTGTATTCTGGCAGGAATGGGGTTCAGGGACCGCACCAGTACATTCTGTGGTACTCCTGAGTTCCTGGCCCCAGAGGTTCTGACGGAGACGTCCTACACGCGTGCTGTGGACTGGTGGGGTCTGGGGGTCCTCATCTTTGAGATGCTGGTTGGAGAGGTTAGTGGTTCTCACCTGTCATATGGATGCATACCTACTCAATACTATGACTCGTGAAGCTGGCCAATATTTTATCAACTCTAAAAATATATATTTTATATATATATATATATATATATTAACTCAGCAAAAAAAGAAACGTCCCTTTTTCAGGACCTTGTCTTTCAAAGATAATTGGTAAAAATCAAAATAACTTCACAGATCTTCATTGTAAAGGGTTTAAACACTGTTTCCCATGCTTGTTCAATGAACCATAAACAATTAATGAACATGCACCTGTGGAATGGTCGTTAAGATACTAACAGCTTACAGACGGTAGGCAATTAAGGTCACAGTTATGAAAACTTAGGACACTAAAGAGGCCTTTCTACTGCCTTAGGCATGCTGCAAGGAGGCATGAGGACTGCAGATGTGGCCAGGGCAATCAATTGCAATGTCCGTACTGTGAGACGCCTAAGACAGCGCTACAGGAAGAAAGGACGGACAGCTGATCTTCCTCGCAGTGGCAGACCACGTGTAACAACACCTGCACAGGATCGGCACATCCGAACATCACACCTGCGGGACAGGTACAGGATGGCAACAACAACTGCCCGAGTTACACCAGGAACGCACAATCCCTCCATCAGTGCTCAGACTGTCCGCAATAGGCTAAGAGAGGCTGGACTGAGGGCTTGTAGGCCTGTTGTAAGGCAGGTCCTCACCAGACATCCCCGGCAATAGCGTCGCCTATGGGCACAAACCCACCGTCGCTGGACCAGTCAGGACTGGCAAAAAGTGCTCTTCACTGATGAGTCGCGGTTTTGTCTCACCAGGGGTGATGGTCGGATTTGCGTTTATCGTCGAAAAAATGAGTGTTACACCGAGGCCTGTACTCTGGGGCGGTGTGTCACAGCATCATCGGACTGAGCTTGTTGTCATTGCAGGCAATCTCAACGCTGTGCGTTACAGGGAAGACATCCTCCTCCCTCATGTGGTACCCTTCCTGCAGGCTCATCCTGACATGACCCTCCAGCATGACAATGCCACCAGCCATACTGATCGTTCTGTGTGTGATTTTCTGCAAGACAGGAATGTCAGTGTTCTGCTATGGCCAGCGAAGAGCCCGGATCTCAATCCCATTGAGCACGTCTGGGACCTGTTGGATCGAAGGGTGAGGAGCATGTGAGTGGAGTGGAGCGGGAGCGAGCGTGGAGCGCGAGCGGGCGGATTTTGGACAGAGCGCAGAGCAGCACGGAGCGTCGCCCTATGTCCCGCTCCAATTTCGCTCGCTCACACCGAGTCTGAAGCATGCTCAAGCCTTACCCAGAATCCATCTGTTTCATTTAATTTGTGTCGTCCATGAATTTGTATTTTATAGAGCGAGAGGAGCAGCAGCAGCAACAAGAGAAAAGGGTTGAGGAATTCAAAAGTTTCTTCACTGCACGCAAAGGCCCAACCATAACAAGGGAGAGAAAAAGAGAGCTGGATGTAGCATTTTTAAAAATGATTTCTATGGACTATGAACCGCTGAGTAAAGGAGAACGCGAAGGGATGCAACACTTCGCCAGCGCAGCTCAACCGGGCTACACCCCCCCCCCCCCCCCCATGCTACAACACCGTACGGGACACTCTCATGCCACATGCCCTGGAAGAGATGGAAGCCAAACTGCAAGACCTACTGCAAAATGGTGATGGGCTCGTTCTGTCAGCGGACATCGTGGCCAGTTTCATTGATGGGACGTTCCGGGGGCACACGGTTTTGTTGGGCTGTGAGCACATACAGGGGCACCATACCGCAGATCGTATTTACCAAAAGTATGAACTGTACTGAAATATTGGAACGTGCAACGACGTGTGATTCGGGTCGTCACTGACAGTGCCAGCAACATGATCAAGGCGTTTAACCTCCTCCCTGGCACTGAAGAGGAGGCGGAGGGTGAAGTGACCGCGGATGCCAGCAGCAGCGCAGAACATGAAGAGGAGGATGAGGGACCACCTGCGCCCTCGCAAGTCCTTGTGGAAGTGATAACCTCTAATGTAGAAACTATGATAAATCAGTACTTTACTGTGTCAAATTTACATCTGAAATGCCCCATTCACATGCTTCAGCTGGCGATCAAAGACGCCGTTAACGAGCACGACAACATTAATAGGCTGTTAGTGAAAGTCGGGCACCTGGTGAAAAGTGTACGCAAGAGCACCCTGAACACAGAGGACACCGACCAATTAGGTGTCCGCCCCACAAATGCCTGCGCCACTCGATGGAGCAGCCAGCTGCGGATGATTCAGTCGTTCATCCGGTTGTTCCAAAAATACCCGTTATGGCAAAACAAACTCAAGTCTAATGTTGCTAACATCACCCTGAATCAAGTACAGCAGCTGACGCACCTTGTCAGTGGGCAGACCTCACAGACAAAATGCAGAAGGAGCTGGGGAACCTGGGGATGATCCTCCCTGCTGTCACAGAAATCAAATCCCTGCTCACCGATGACACTCACGCTGCACTTCCAATGGGCATCGCTGCTTTTGCAGAAACATTGGCAAACAACGTGTCAATTCGCTATGGAATATACTATACTGATAAACATCTCATTTTACCATCAGTGTTAGATCCCCGTTTCAAGACAGAATGGATAATCCGAGATGAGTCTGTATGCAACAAACTCGGGGAGATAAGGTAAGGCTGTGGTTTAAGCTAAAAGTGAAATAAATGCAGATTTTTTTCATTTTTTTGGAGCGAGCGGGGGGGCCATTTGAGTGGAGCGCGATGCAAACTGCGTTGAGCACTGAGCGATAATGAGCGGACTGGCCTGATGTGGCTTTGGGCGGGGGGAGCGGAGGAGTGAACAGCTCCGTGAGCGAGGAGCTGAGATTCTCACCGCTCCACTCCGCTCATATGCTCTGGTGAGGGCTAGGGCCATTCCACCCAGAAATGTCCAGGAACTTGCAGGTGCCTTGGTGGAAGAGTGGGGTAACATCTCACAGCAAGAACTGGCAAATCTGGTGCAGTCCATGAGGAGGAGATGCAGTGCAGTACTTAATGCAGCTGGTGGCCACACCAGATACTGACTATTACTTTTGATTTTGACCCCCTCTTTGTTCAGGGACACATTATTCCATTTCTGTTAGTCACATGTCTGTGGAACTTGTTCAGTTTATGTCTCAGTTGTTGAATCTTGTTATGTTCATACAAATATTTACACATGTTAAGTTTGCTGGAAAATAAACGCAGTTGACAGTGAGAGGACGTTTCTTTTTTTGCTGAGTTTATATAGCTGACCTGGTCAGTACTTGTCCATATAAAAATCTAAATAATTGACTGTATGTGCAAAAATCTGTGTTTTTGCCCGTCCGACAGTCTCCATTCCCTGGGGACGATGAGGAGGAGGTGTTTGACAGCATCGTCAACGATGAAGTCCGCTACCCAAGGTTCCTCTCAACAGAGGCCATCTCCATCATGAGAAGGGTGGGTTCTGGTGAAGTTCTACTACGGTAACTTCAGATTGACCTCTACTGAAACACAACACCTCAAACGACTGCTGTCAGCAAGTGTGAACTGAGAAGAAACAAAAGACAATGGCGTTATTGAAATACAGCTTTAATGTTTATTCTGCTTTGTTATGCTCTTTATGTTTGTAGCTTTTGAGGAGGAGTCCAGAAAGACGTCTGGGGGCAGGAGAACGAGACGCAGAAGAAGTAAAGAAACATCTGTTCTTCAGAGTAAGTTGAAAGTATTTTTTATTTTATTTTATATATTTGATCTGTTTTGATATTGTTATCCAAAACAGCCTGGATTACAGGCAATATGGACACATCATTACATATGTAGGCTACTTAAGCAATAAGGCCTGAGGAGGTGTGGTATATGGCCAATATAAAATAAGTGTTTTGTCATACCCATGGTATACAGTCTGATATACCACAGCTGTCAGCCAATCAGCATTCAGAGCTCGAACCACCCAGTTTATAATATTCATTCGACTTGTCTCCTTTATTATCTTCGTTGTCATTAACTTTTTTTCTCACAAGGTAGACGATTCAATACGTCTGTCCTGATAGTTTGCCGACGACACAATAGTGATCACCGACAACGATGAGACAGCCTATAGGGAGGAGGTCAAAGACCTGGCCGTGTGGTGCCAGGATAACAACCTCTCCCTCAACGTGACCAAGACAAAGGAGATGATTGTGGACTACAGGAAAAAAAAGAGGACTGAGCACGCCCCCATTCTCATCGACGGGGCTGTAGTGGAACAGGTTGAGAGCTTCAAGTTCCTTGGTGTCCACATCACCAACTAACTATCATGGTCCAAACACACCAAGACAGTCGTGAAGATGGCATGACAAAGCCTATTCCCCCTCAGGAGACTGAAAAGATTTGTCATGGGTCCTCAGATCCTCAAAAGGTTCTACAGCTGCACCATCGAGAGCATCCTGACTGGTTGCATCACCGCCTGGTATGGCAACTGCTCGGCCTCTGACCGCAAGGCACTACAGAGGGTAGTGCGTACGGCCCAGTACATCACTGGGGCCAAGCTTCCTGCCATCCTGGACCTCTATACCAGGCGGTGTCAGAGGAAGGCCCTCAAAATTGTCAAAGACTCCAGCCACCCTAGTCATAGACTGTTCTCTCTGCTACCGCACGGCAAGCGGTACCGGAGCGCCAAGTCTAGGTCCAAAAGGCTTCTCAACAGCTTCTACCCCCAAGCCATAAGACTCCTGAACAGCTAATCATGGCTACCTGGACTATTTGCACTGCCCCCCCCACCCCCACCCCATCTTTTTACGCTGCTGCTACTCTGTTAATTATTTATGCATAGTCACTTTAACTCTACCCACATGTACATATTACCTCAACTAGCCGGTGCCCCCGCACATTGACTCTGCACCGGTACCCCCCTGTATATATAGCCTCCCTACTGTTATTTTATTTTACTTCTGCTCTTTTTTTCTCAACACTTTTTTGTTTTATTTTACATTTTTATTTAAAAATAAATGCATTGTTGCTTAAGGGCTGTAAGTAAGCATTTCATGGTAATGTCTACACCTTTTGTATTCGGCGCATGTGGCAAATAAAATTTGATTTGATTTGATAGTTGACATAAATTCACTATTTCATCCATTTTCTCCTTCCTTTGTCCCCACAGAATATGGATTGGAACGGACTACTGGCCAAGAAGGTGAAGCCTCCGTTCGTGCCGACCATCCAGGACTCCAATGACGTCAGCAACTTCGACAACGAATTTACCTCAGAAGCGCCCATCCTGACCCCGCCCAGAGAACCCAGGGCGCTCAGCAGGAATGAGCAGGACATGTTCTCAGACTTTGACTACATCGCAGACTGGTGTTAGCCCCCCTCCCTCCTCCTAACACGTTGAACAAACACACACTGTGAACCAAACAACACAGCGCTGACTGACTGTAGCTCACATTTTAAAATCCGCCTCTTTTCCAAACAAACGTTGAGAGGGAGGGGAAAACATCGCTCTTCCAGCCTTTGGGCACACTCTGTGCCATTGAAAGACGCCCCCCGACTCCACAACTGAACACCCTTGTTTATTTTTTAACAAAATGAATAACTTTTTTAACATAAAGAGATTCTATTTTGCTTCTCTTCTGAGAATTCAGAGAGAAGAGGGGGAAGGAGGCCTCCAGCGCATGTTTTCTTTTGTCTGACCACTGAGAATGTTTTCATATGAACTCTGTCAAAGGACACGCCGGCAACATGTTATTCATTGTCAGTCTTTTTTTTAAATATTATGTACAGAATATTATTCATCTGTATTAACGAGTCATTTCTCAAGCCATAACTAAATGACTTCTCTCTGTAAGGTTTTGACATGTCTGCCTTGTATGAGTATTTTGAGCATTTATCACTGAACCGTCACGTGAGGTTAAAGAAAACACATTTTGACTACTACTGCCTTTTGACTTGAAACCCAAAGTAAGGGCTCCTTTATAGCTGATCCTAGTCATTCTCATCCCCCACCCACACACTTATTCGTCACATGCTTCGTAAACAACAGGTGTGGACTAACAGTGAAATGCTTAGTTACGGGCCCTTCCCAACAATGCAGGGAGAACCCTCCCACAGTTTTTAAAGAATGCCTTCCTGTTTCTGCTAGCAAAGCTAAGAGCTGGCTGACTCAAAGAATAGAGTGCAGAAAATGTTTATTTTTAAACAGATGATCATTAGGCAAAGCGGTGGATCCAGTGTTAGTCCTCATGGTATTGCAACTATCCCTCATTTACTAGCATAAAGGACCATGTTTTAAGCGGTAGAACAAAGAGTTCTAGACACATCAAAGGCGACTGTGCTGCTTTAAAGTCATTTGTAAGGAGCACACAATATGGAGACATATCTGACATGGCTCCCTCTGGTGGATTCCTAGCACCATTAAGCAGGGGCCATATGAATCAAGCGTCTCAGAGTAGAAGTGCTGATTTAGGATCAGTTTTGCAATGAAAAGGATTACATGAACAGGGGGACCTGATCCTAGAACAGCACTCCTACTCTGAGACCCCTGAGCTATACAGACCCAGATTTTGTTCTTGGGGGATAACAATGCATTCAGCTAGCAATGTTGTGCTCTTGTGGATAGAATCAATTACTCTAGCATTTCGAACAGAGTTTGGGTCCGTTCCATTATAATTCAATCGATGCAGCGAATTAATGAATTTAGGATTTCTGTTGAATTTCCATTCCCTACCTGAATTGACTGATTTGAAATGGAATTGATTCCAACCTCGATACCTCAATTATTCTTTTTAACTGAAGATACAAGAACCAGAAGACGTCACAGCCTGCAATGATTGGACTTAGTCAAATGGTGGATCTGAAGTGACTGATACAGTACAGCTGATTACCAAAACTCATCCATTCAGTCCTGACAGTGGGACTATGGATGTATGATGGAACTGACTTAAACCTATGTGTAGGGTGAAGTTGCCTCTAGGTTAGGAGGATTGGGGAAGGGGAAGCTGACCCTAGATCTTTACCTAAGGGAAGCTGACCCTAGATCTTTACCTAAGGGAAGCTGACCCTAGATCTTTACCTAAGGGAAGCTGACCCTAGATCTTTACCTAAGGGAAGCTGACCCTAGATCTTTACCTAAGGGAAGCTGACCCTAGATCTTTACCTAAGGGAAGCTGACCCTAGATCTTTACCTAAGGGAAGCTGACCCTAGATCTTTACCTAAGGGAAGCTGACCCTAGATCTTTACCTAAGGGAAACTTCACCCTGGAGCTTCAACTTGGCTCAGTGGCAGTTTGTGCAGACAATATGTAAATGAATCACTACAGGTGAGGGCAGGGTATATTATATATGTATGTACACACAATTAAGCTGATAGCACTCATTTTATCAATAGTTATTTTTGTATCTATGTTTAGTGTAATTATGAAAATAGATTGTACAAAGTTATTTCTCCGTGCTTAAATGGCTGCTTGAGCGTGTTGCAAAAACAGAAGCTTTTTTGAATGGTACACCACATTGAAGTTACAAGACTGTTGGCCCTGGTGTAAAGAAGCAGTCGTCTATCATGAATGCACAAATTAAACGTTTTTAATAGAGTGGTGCTACCTTTGCATATTGTATTCTATTGGTGTGAGCGCATCACTTTCAAGGCCATGCTATGTCTTGGTCTCTTTGCTTTGAGAATCTCTTCAATGGTGTGAAGAGCAACATGCCCAATAGAACTGTCCATTAACGTACTACGGCAGTCCACTGTTCAGCCGTGACCCAGAGTGTATCTTACTGAAGCGCTCTGGAGAAATAGCAGGGAGTGACCTGGATTTGGAGTCGAGGTAAGTGGATAACTAAAACGTCTCTTAGAAGGATCGAAACCTCTGGCAGAAGAGTAAAGAGACTCATTTACCTTTAATCAATCCAGGTAAAGCATCGAGAGCAAGTAACCCTTATTTTATTTATTTAACTAGGCAAGTCAGTTAAGAACAAGATCTTATTTACAATGACGGCCTACACCGGCCAAACTTGACGACGCTGGGCCCTATGGGACTCCCAATCACGGCCAGTTGAACCAGGGGGTCTGTAGTGACGCCTCAAGCACTGAGATGCAGTGCCTTAGACCGAGTGGCACAGCTAAAGTATAACTTTGTCATGTTCAACTTTCCAAATACTTGATGTAATGACAGCCAGATGACCTTTGACCCTTAGAAATTACTTTGGTTTTGAAAAGATGCAAAGGTGTGTTGAACTCTTGCTTCAATTGCTATCCTAGGCCCACAACTGTACACCTGACAGGAGGGACGATACAAGCTGGAACTTGATAAACTTGTCTGGCTGTCTGAAGGGCAGAGATGTACTGATCAATGTACTCCCAAGTGGAACATATGTCTAGTAATAGAACAAAAGTTTAATATTTCAAATGATAAAATAAAAAGCAGTATTAGAGTCAATACACTCAGCAAACACATTCCGTACAAAGTTTAATGTTATTCAATGCATGAGATGTTCAACATGCTTTTCAGAAAAGCATTTAATTTAATACAATGCAAACAAGCTAACAAAATGTAACCTGCTCATTTCCTACAAAAGTAGGTGTATACAGTATAAAACCAGCCTAATATTGCAAGCACCAATTACATTTTCTCACTTGGACATAAATACAGTATATATATACACACACTCAAATGAAATACTGTATGTACAGTTTGCAATTAATTCTAAAAGCATTGGAATGTGTGTCCTGTACTTGTCTGTATTCCTGCAAAAAGTGCTTTCACAAAGGCCCGAAGGCTTAATTAACAAGGGAAAAGAAGGGGAAAGAATCGTAGAAATCCAATTCAATAAAAAAAAGAACCCAGTACAGCAGAAAGTGTTGTTGGGGCAAGCGGGTCATCACAGCTGGGGCAGTTTGTCCACGGGGGTGTCGAATTTGAAGTCAGGGGGAAAGAGGTCGGCAGCGCGGGGGTAGATGAGTCTGTACGACTGTCTGATCGTGACATCCGCCACACCGGCGATGTCTCCAATCTCTGTCCAAAAGCATAGATTTGCAGAAATTACTACTGGTGCTTTAAGAATATTCAGAGACCATTGGTGCTGCACCTGTGTTCTCAGAACTATCAGAAATACGAGTCCCCGAACCTTCAGAAACTGTTTGTGTGAGCTCTCAAATCAGAAATACCACATGAGCATCACACTGTTATACTGTTATTCATGCCTGAAATTTACTGAAGCAGGTTATAAAGCTTACAAACAAACACAAATATACTACACAGTGCCATGAAAAAGTATTTGCCCCCTTTCATATTTTCTCTATTTTTTGATACTGAATGTTATCATATCTTCAACCAAAACCTAATATTAGATAAAGGGAACCTGAGTTTACAAATACAAAATGTTTTATTTATTTAAGTTATGCAACACCCAATGCCCCTGTGTGAAATAGTAATGACCCCCTTACACTCAATAACTGGTTGTGCCACCTTGAGCTGCAATGACTGCAACCAAATGCTTCCTGTAGTTGTTGATCAGTCTCTCATGTCACTGTGGAGGAATGTTGGCCAACTCTTGCATGCAGAACTGCTTTAACTCAGCGACATTTGTTGCTTTTCAAGCATGAACTGCTTGTTTCAAGTCCTGCCACATCTCAAAAAGTTGACTCAAGTTTGCCAAAAAGTACCTGGAAGCACCTGGATGATCATCAAGACTCTTGGAAAAATGTTCTATGGACAGATGATTCAAAAGTATAACTTTTTAGATGACATGGGTCCCATTATGCCTGGTGAAAACCAAACACTGCATTCCACAGTAAGAACATCATACCAAAGGTCAAGCATGGTGGTGGTGGTGTGATGGTTTGGGGATGCTTTGCTGCCTCAGGACCTGGACAACTTGCCTTAATAGAAGGAACCATGAATTCTGCTCTGTATCAGAGAATTCTACAGGAGAATATCAGGCCTGTGAGCTGAAGCGCAGCTGGGTCATGCAGCAAGACAATGATCCAAAACACACAATCAAGTCTACATGAAAATGGCTAAAAAGCAACAAATTATAAATTTTGGAATGGGCTAGCCAAAGTCCAGACCTAATCCCAATTGAGATGTTGTGGCAGGACTTGAAACGAGCAGTTCATGCTTGAAAACCCACAAATGTCGCAGTTCTGTATGGAAGAGTGGGCCAAAATTCCTCCACAGCAAGGCGAGAGTCTGATCAACAACTACAGGAAGTGTTTGGTTGGAGTCATTGCAGCTAAATGTGGCACAACCAGTTATTGAGTGTAAGGGGGCAATTACTATTTCACACAGGGGCATTGGGTGTTGCATAACTTTGTTAAATAAATTACGTAATTGTTGTGTTATTTGTTCACTCAGGTTCCCTTTATCTAATTTTAGGTTTTGGTTGAAGATCTGATAACATTCAGTATCAAAAATATGCAAAAGTAGATACAATTTGAAAGGGGGCAAATACTTTGGATATAGAGTGCTGTGAAAATGTATGTGGACACCCCTTCATACTAGTGGATTTGGCTATTTCAGCCACACCCGTTGCTGACAGGTGTATAAAATCGAGCACACAGCCATTGCAATCTCCATAGACAAACATTGGCAGTAGAATGGCCTTACTGAAGAGCTCAGTGACTTTCAACACGGCACTGTCATAGGATTCCACCTTTCCAACAAGTCAGTTCCTCAAATTTCTGCCCTGCTAGAGCTGCCCCGGTCAACTGGAAGTGCTGTTATTTTGAAGTGGAAACGTCTAGGAGCAACAATGGCTCAGCCGCGAAGTGGTAGGCCACACAAGTTCACAGAACTGGACCACTGAGTGCTGAAGCGCGTAAAAATGGTCTGTCCTCGGTTGCAATACTCACTACCGAGTTCCAAACTGCCTCCGGAAGCAAAGCCAGCACAAGAACTGTTCATTGGGAGCTTCATGAAATGGGTTTCCATGGCCAAGCAGCTGCAAACAAGCCTAAGATCACTGTGCGCAATGCTAAGCATCAGCTGGAGTGGTGTAAAGCTTGCCGCCATTGGACTCTGGAGCAGTGGAAACGAGTTCTCTGGAGTGATGAATAACGCTTCACCAACTGGCAGTCCGATGGACGAATCTGGGTTTGGCGGATGCCAGGAGAACGCTACCTGCCCGAAAGCATACTGCCAACTGTAAAGTTTGGTGGAGGAGGAATAACGGTCTGGGGCTGTTTTTCATGGTTCGGGCTAGGCCCCTTAGTTCCAGTGAAGGGAAATCTTAACGCTACAGCATACAATTACATTCTAGACGATTCTGTGCTTCCAACTTTGTGGCAACAGTTTGGGGAAGGCCCTTTCCTGTTTCAGCATGACAATGCCCCTGTGCACAAAGCAAGGTCCATACAGAAATGGTTTGTTGAGATCAGTGTGGAAGAACTTGACTGGCCTGCACAGAGCCCTGACCTCAACCCCATCGAACACCTTTGGGATGAATTGGAACGCCGACTGTGAGCCAGGCCTAATCGCCCAACATCAATGCCCGATATCACTAATGCTCTTGTGGCTGAATAGAAGCAAGTCCCCGCAGCAATGTCCCAACATCTAGTGGAAAGCCTTCCCTGAAGAGTGGAGGCTTTGATATCAGCAAAGGTGGGACCAACTGCATATTAATGCCCATGATTTTGGAATGAGATGTTCGACGAGCAGGTGTCCACATACTTCTGGTCATGTAGTGTAGTTCAGATTCAGCCAATAAAGAACTTTAAGTGATGACCACCTCAAAAAGACAATCAACCACCACTACAGTGAGGGGAAAAAAGTATTTGATCCCCTGCTGATTTTGTACGTTTGCCCACTGACAAATAAATTATCAGTCTATAATTTTAATGGTAGGTTTATTTGAACAGTGAGAGACAATAACAACAAAGAAATCCAGAAAGACGAATGTAAAGAATGTTATAAATTGATTTGCATTTTAATGAGGGAAATAAGTATTTGACCCCTTCTCAATCAGAAAGATTTCTGGCTCCCAGGTGTCTTTTATACAGGCAACGAGCTGAGAATAGGAGCACACTCTTAAAGGGAGTGCTCCTAATCTCAGTTTGTTACCTGTATAAAAGACACCTGTCCACAGAAGCAATCAATCAATCAGATTCCAAACTCTTCACCATGGCCAAGACCAAAGAGCTCTCCAAGGATGTCAGGGACAAGACTGTAGACCTACACAAGGCTGGAATAGGCTACAAGACCATCGCCAAGCAGCTTGGTGAGAAGGTGAACAGTTGGTACGATTATTCGCAAATGGAAGAAACACAAAAGAACTGTCAATCTCCCTCGGTCTGGGGCTCCATGCAAGATCTCACCTCATGGAGTTGCAATGATCATGAGAACGGTGAGGAATCAGCCCAGAACTACACGGGAGAATCTTGTCAATGATCAAGGCAGCTGGGACCATAGTCACCAAGAAAACAATTGGTAACAACCTACACCGTGAAGGACTGAAATCCTGCAGCGCCCGCAAGGTCCCCCTGCTCAAGAAAGCACATATACAGGGCTGTCTGAAGTTTGCCAATGAACATCTGAATGATTCAGAGGAGAACTGGGTGAAAGTGTTGTGGTCAGATGAGACCAAAATCGAGCTCTTTGGCATCAACTCAACACGCCGTGTTTGGAGGAGGAGGAATGCTGCCTATGACCCCAAGAACACCATCCCCACCGTCAAATATGGAGGTGGAAACATCATGCTTTGGGGGTGTTTTTCTGCTAAGGGGACAGGACAACTTCACCGCATCAAAGGGACGATGGACTGGGCCATGTACCGTCAAATCTTGGGTGAGAACCTCCTTCCCTCAGCCAGGGCATTGAAAATGGGTCGTAGATGGGTATTCCAGCATGACAATGACCCAAAACACACGGCCAAGGCAACAAAGGAGTGGCTCAAGAAGAAGCACATTAAGGTCCTGGAGTGGCCTAGCCAGTCTCCAGACCTTAATCCCATAGAAAATCTGTGGAGGGAGCTGAATGTTCGAGTTGCCAAACGTCAGCCTCAAAACCTTAATGACTTGGAGAAGATCTGCAAAAAGGAGTGGAACAAAATCCCTCCTGAGATGTGTGCAAACCTGGTGGCCAACTACAAGAAACATCTGACCTCTGTGATAGCAAACAAGGGTTTTGCCACCAAGTACTAAGTCATGTTTTGCAGAGGGGTCAAATACTTATTTCCCTCATTAAAATGCAAATCAATTTATAACATTTTTTACATGCGTTTTTCTGGATTATTTTGTTGTTATTCTGTCTCTCACTGTTCAAATAAACCTACCATTAAAATGATAGACTGATCATGTCTTTGTCAGTGGGCAAACGTACAAAATCAGCAGGGGATCAAATACTTTTTTCCCCCCACTGTATCTCCCACAATCCCCCACCTCACCTTTCTGGGTCTTCTTCTCGGCAGAGGCCTGGGAGGCCATGTAGATGGCGGCGGCGGCCACGGAGATGGGGCTCCTGCCAGGCACCAGGTCCAGCTCCACTGCCTTCCGGGCGATGTAGGTGGCCGCCATCTGCACCTGCTTGGGCAGGCCCAGGTTGGAGCAGAAGCGGGACATGAAGTCTCCGGTGGTGATGAGGTCCACGCTGGTCTCCAGGGCCTTGAGGATCAGCTTGAAGCAGCGGCCAATCTCCTTCTTGGAGATGCGGGACACGGCGCAGATCTCTGCGGGGGATGGATGACAAGGGAGTCATTAGTGATACACCATCAGGATCATTTTAATAAGGCATGCAACAGAGAACATTTTTTTAAACGCAAGATGAAAATAAGGGTTTCTAATTGGACCTGTCCAGGTAGTAGCCCTCCTTGTTTGACAATTTTCTTCCGTTTGGTGCCTAATGAACGCAACCCAGGAATATATTATAACCATGAAGTCTTGGTTTTAAATTTGTAGCAACAGACACTCATTCCAAGGTGTTGTGTGAAACATTGTTTCATCCTAATATGAGCTCTAAACATCGTATTTATAGGAGCTCACCTTTAAATGTCCGAGGCACACCCTCTTGTCTGCAGGCGATGTACAGGCAGGCTGATGCGATGGCATCGTTGGCCCGCCCCTTCAGGCTCTTCTGTTCGTACACTTGCTTAAATAAGTTATTTGTTCGGTCCTGCAGGACAACATTCAGGACAACATTCAGCTCAGCGCAAAATCTCTTAAAATGCTGCAGACATTACTATAATTTGGTTAAAGCTGCAATATGTACCTTTTTGGTCAACCCAACCAAATTCACTTAGAAATGTGAGTTATAGATCTGTCATTCTCATTCAAAGCAAGTCTAAGAACAGTAGTAGATCTGTTCTGTGTCTATGCTTCTTGTTCTCAAGTCTCGTTTTTTGTTCTCTAAACTATGCATTGCTTGATTTGTCAGATAAACTGAAATTAGGCGAACTATTCGAATTTTAGCAACCAGGAAATGGCAGAGCGATTTCTGCGTATTGCACCTTTAAGAGAAAACCCCATATTTAGAGTAACCTGCTAAATAACTTGAGTTTTGGAAATATATGAATCCATGTACAGTGGCTTATATTCACCCCCCTTGGCATTTTTCCTATTTTGTTGCCTTACAACCTGGAATTAAAATGGATTTTTTGGGGGTTTGTATCATTTGATTTACACAACATGCCTACCACTTTGAAGATGCAAAATATTTTTGTGTGTGAAGCTAGACAAAAAAAACAAAAATTGAGCGTGCATAACTATCCCCCCCCCCCCCAAAGTCAATACTTTGTAGAGCCACCTTTTGCAGCAATTGCAGCTGCAAGTCTCTTGGGGTATGTCTCTATAAGCTTGGCACATCTAGCCACTGGGATTTTTGCCCATTCATCAAGGCAAAACTGCTCCAGCTCCTTCAAGTTGGATGGGTTCTGCTGGTGTACAGCAATCTTTAAGTCATACCACAGATTCTCAATTGGATTGAGATCTGGGCTTTGACTAGGCCATTCCAAGACATTTAAATTTTTCCCCTTAAACCACTCGAGTGTTGCTTTAGCAGTATGCTTAGGGTCATTGTCCTGCTGGAAGGTGAACCTCCGTCCCATTCTCATATCTCTGGAAGACACAGGTTTCCCTCAAGAATTTCCCTGTATTTAGCGCCATCCATCATTCCTTCAATTCTGACCAGTTTCCCAGTCCCTGCCGATGAAAAACATCCCCACAGCATGATGCTGCCACCACCATGCATGGTGTTCTCGGGGTGAAGAGAGGTGTTGGGTTTGCGCCAGACATAGCGTTTTCCTTGATGACAAAAAAGCTCAATTTTAGTCTCATCTGACCAGAGTACCTTCTTCCATATGTTTGGGGAGTCTCCCACATGCCTTTTGGCGAACACCAAATGTGTTTGCTTATTTGTTTCTTTAAGCAATGGCTTTTTTCTGGCCACTCTTCCGTAAAGCCCAGCTCTGTGGAGTGTACGGCTTAAAGTGGTCCTATGGACAAATACTCCAATCTCTGCTGTGGAGCTTTGCAGCTCCTTCAGGGTTATCTTTGGTCTCTTTGTTTGCTCTGATTAATGCCCTCCTTGCCTGGTCCGTGAGTTTTGGTGGGAGGCCCTCTCTTGGCAGGTTTGTTGTGGTGCCATATTCTTTCAATTTTTTAATAATGGATTTAATGGTGCTCCGTGGGATGTTCAAAGTTTCTGATATTTTTTTATAACCCAACCCTGATCTGTACTTCTCCACAACTTTGGCCCTGACCTGTTTGGAGAACTCCTTGGTCTTCATGGTGCCGCTTGCTTGGTGGTGCCCCTTGCTTAGTGGTGTTGCAGACTCTGGGGCCTTTCAGAACAGGTGTATATTTACTGAGATCATGTGACAGATCATGTGACACTTAGATTGCACACAGGTGGACTTTATTTAACTAATTATTGAAGGTAATTGGTTGCACCAGATCTTATTTAGGGGCTTCATAGCAAAGGGGGTGAATACATATGCACGCACCACTTTTGCGTTATTAATTTTTTAGAATCTTTTGAAAAAAGTAATTTTTGTAATTTCACTTCACCAATTTGGACTATTTTGTGTATGTCCATTACATTAAATCCAAATAAAAATCAATTTAAAATTACAGGTTGTAATGCAACAAAATAGGAAAAACGGCATGGGGGATGAATACTTTTGCAAGGCACTGTAGGTAGAAATTAGCAGTTAGCTAGCTAGCTACTAGGTTCCACAAAGCTAAACAAATGGAAGAGAGAACAGAACTAACTATGATGTTCCTTGGTAGGTTGATCCGGTCGGCCATGGTGGTAATCTCTTTGAAGGCGTTTAGCATGGCGCGGTCTGAACTGCTCATGGTCCGCCGGTTCTGGTATTTGGAGTTGCCGAACTCGTCAAAACTCGCCGCGCCTGTTCCCTATGGTGACAACAGAATGGTTGGAACCAATAGTGGTAATAAATACTTTTTATTTAACCTTTGTTTTTCACAGGGAAGTCCCATTTTCAAGGAGCCCTGCTTCACACAAAAGATGTAGCAGAAAATACAAGCTACATAACAAGGAATGAATGATACAAATACAACAAGACACTATCATGAGAAATACAACCATACAAAAATGCTATTATAATTATTTTTTTAAAAACACATATGCAATGTCTGATCCTTTTATTAGCATAACCCATTTACTACCAACACATCTTATGACAATGAAGTCTATTTTATGGAGACCAGAGGAACTTGTGGTACCTGATGATGACCATGTCACACACAAAGGGGAGCAGACATTTTCTTGTCATTGCATTTCTTTGTCTGGCTCCCTGGGCCACATTTAGATGTGGTCCTTCTCTTGTCATGCATCAACATCTAGCCACAGATCACAAACATTAAAATAGTTTTAGAGCAGCTTTCCCTGTAAGTGATAACTTTGTGTACTTACCTTGCTGATCATGGTGGTCAAGTCTCCCCCGTTGAGGAGTGGATTCTGGGCGTCGCCCACTCTGGACGGGTCTTTGGTGTCTTTCTCGTTGGTGAAGGTCCTCCACTCTGAACCCACATCAATCACCCTGTCACCTGAGGAGGAACCAGTCACATTACCGCATGGGGCCACGCTACAATACGTTCAAACCTCTTCCTTTCCTTGTGTAATTTACTCTACTTCGTCTCCTTGAGCAGTGAGCACTGACATGAATGTGATTAACATCAAGCACCCACTGTATTGATTTCACCATCATAGTATAATGCTTACACCAAGTGAGTCCTTCCTTTTGTGACATTTACATTTTAGTCATTTAGCAGACGCTCTTATCCAGAGCGACTTACAGTTAGTGAGTGCATACATTATATTTTTTTTATTTCATACTTGTCCCCCGTGGGAAACGAACCCACAACCCTGGCGTTGCAAACGCCATGCTCTACCAACTGAGCTACATCCCTGCCGGCCATTCCCTCCCCTACCCTGGACGACGCTGGGCCAATTGTGCGCCGCCCCATGGGTCTCCCGGTCGCGGCCGGCTATGACAGAGCGTGGACAAAAGGAGATGAGGAAATACGATATTAGGGAAGGAAGCAGTATTGCGTGTCAGTGGGACCCTGGCCACCACTTGGTCTAATGATACAACCAGGACACAATCAACCAAACGTGGCTAATCTCCCCATTGTTCTGGTCACAGATTTGATTACACCCTGCACTTCCCAGACCAGGCCACAAGATGGCGTCATTGTCCAGTTCCTGAGTGAGACTTTCCTTTGTCCAATATTTTTTCTCGTTTATCGTCTCTTCCTGGAAACTAGCAGGGTCAGGGATTAGATTCTTCGCCTTAATCCCATAAACCCTTTCCATACATAAATCACGCTAATATCGAGCACTAATATGACGTTAATCTGCTTATGGCAAAGCTATGGGATACAATCTAGCATTACTGAATCGGCCCACTTACCCACTATATATGATTAGCTAAGTGTTTCCTATGGGACTCATTATGGGAGACCTGCTATGTTACGTTCAGATAGAGCCTTGTAATGCAATCCGTTGCTCTAACTACCGTGGCTTTCCAAGGAAGTCTAAGGAAGGTGTGGACAGATTTGATTCTATTGCATCTTTGAGAGGATGTTGTCATTTCTAGAATTTCATGGTATCATGTTACATATTATTATGCACTCCAACTATGTGGCAGGTCTGACATGACATCACTGCTCGAGTCACATAATACCAGCACAAACACTGTCACATCACTCCCTCTGAACTAGAGGTTAGTATTTTGAGTACGTGTCTATAGAAGTGTAGGGCCAGCAGGCCTATGTCGGTTTATGTTATGTTACGCTATTTACCTACTGCAAAGACTTCTCCTCCCTACAGATAAGGCTTTGTGTCAGTCTGTTGACAATTGGCCTTGGTTTACAACAATGGTAAACCAAAGCCAATTCAGAGTAGTGAGAACATTTGGCCGGTCCTAACGTCTAAAAAAGGCTATTTTAGGCTTAGGGGTTAGGTTTAAGGTTGGGTTAGAATTAGGGTTCGGTTTAGGGTAAAAAGTCCTCAAGTATAGTAATACAAAGCTGTGCGTGCTCTATCCCTCACCCACTACAAGGCCACACTCGGGGCAGATCATGTCCCCTGCTCTGTAGTCTTCCACCAGCATGGCGTCTGGGTGGTTGGGGCACTGCACCTTGGGAAGGGCAAGGACGTCTCCACTGCAAGTAAAGAAGAAATCCCAGAGGTCAGCCGACAGTGACCTCTAAGCTCTGACCCTGCCTAGTGAGAGTTACCCCAGAATTGAATGTGACTGTACTTATCTCCATAAAGCTGGTTTACTGTCAAGTTTGTGGTATTAGTTCACTTACTCTACACACTTCAGTGAACTTCGGTTAAAGCCGATTGTTTACTGTGAGATTTGAATTGGCAAATGATGATAATGACAGGGAAATCTTACAGGCCTTTGTTCAAATTTTGCACAAATTATGAAACATGTCAGTCTTCCCCTTGATCAGAGAAATATTAGGAACATAGTTAGCTACCTTTAAGATTATTAAAACAAAAAGGCACTTCTGAAAATTACAAGTTACAATGTTTTAACTTTTCACAAGCAATCACCGCCATTATATATATATATATAATATAACATAATCATAATATAATATAATATAACTGGACTGGGAAGTACTGCAAACCTAGCTAGTGGTGCAGAAGCCACCACAAAGATTGTGTGTTTACTTGTACCCAGACGAATTTCCAACCGAAATTATGCTGATGTGGCCAAAAAGCGCATCGAAACGGTCCTTCGTGGGACCACGGGACCCATAAAATGGGCATCCTGCGTTTTGGAAATTATCTTCGACACCAATTCGATTCTATAACGTTAATACCAAAACCGACACATACCCCATATAGCTAACTAGCCGAAATTCTGGCACTAAAAGTATTCTTCCAATCCCCTGTCTGTTTCCTTTGACACGGGTACGTTAACATTCGGTTTCTCTTCGTTTAGGCAAGCGAAAACAAGCTATTTATTTTAAGTTAGTTAGTTGGTAAAATAACCAAATCAACTTGCCGTGTCCTTATAACTATTATCAATGGATTAATAACTTGTAATGATTAGATCACTGTCAAGGTGTCATGCGTTGACACTCGGCTACTGTAAAAATATATTAACTAACGTTAGCTAGTGTAATTGGAGTTAGCCAGCTGAGATCGCCCGATAACATCACCGTGCGACATCACCCATCCCTTTTAAAAACGTTACATCGGTCATTCACAGTCGCATGTGCGTCATGATTTGGAAGATATATACATCATTCATGTTGTTCTACATCGTCCTCGACCTCGGATGCACACGAGCAACACGATCAAGTTAACATGATATACGATCTATACAATGTGTCAAACTGTGATTTGATAGTATTTTCTGGTAGGCTAACGTTAGTTAAGGTGAACTAGTATGGACATTCCGGCGGCTATGATGAAAAACACCGGAGAGTCGCGTTAGAAACAAACGTCTCTAGGTGTTGATCGCCACCCCCCACCCTTTGTTCAATAACTGTACCCTACATGAAAACATAATAATGCAAAACACAAAGAACACAGTTTGGAATAGATTATATACAAACCGGCTCGTAGACGCCATGTTAGATACTTCTTTATATAATGCTACCAGTGGTGGACTGTTTCGAACAATGGCGTCTTTTACCTCTATATATGGCTTTTTTGGCCCACGTGTTTACATGACGACGGAATGGCAAAAGGCTCAAACTAGATCTTCTTCTTCAATGAGGTTTAACGGCGGTTGGCATCCAATTTGTTGCATTACCGCCACCTACTAAACTGGAGTTCAACTCCCTTATCTTTCCTTGAAAAATTAAATAAACCAAAGCTAAGAAATATCCTACCATCTAACACTACACTCACACCTTCAACACTACAACTAATAATTAACCCCACCCTTCTCCACTGTTTAAATACACTCACTCCTACCTCATGCCCTCAACTTGAATTGATGGGACATCACCACTTAACACTCCCTGTAACTCTTCTGCTGTCAAGTCTTGCACACCCAAACATCTCTCTGCAGCTGCCACCACCACCTCAATTTTCTTCAATTTGCGTTCCATCCCTGCAGTACAATTAATAACCATTGCTATAAATGCTAAAAATCCAATCTTGCTGAACCATATATCACTTTTTGGTTTATCCCTCTGTACTGGTACATCTCTACTACTCACACCATTTCTCTCAGGATCCCTCCCCCTTGACCCATCTTCCTCTACTTTCTTCACTGCCTCCGCATATGACAACTTCTTCTCTACTCTTACCCTGGATACCTCAACCTGCTTCTCTCGCACTGGACATGTCTGATCCCCAGCCCCATGGCCACCCCTACAATTAGCACACACCACCACTTTCCCCACTGCTTCATACTCCTTTGTTTCATGCCCTTCTGCACACTTCTCACACCTTGGAATCTCCCTCCTACACACTGCTGCCACATGCCCATAAGTTTGACACCTGTAACATCTTAAGGTATTCAGCACATATGCTCGCACTGGATAACTTATACAGTGAGGGAAAAAAGTATTTGATCCCCTGCTGATTTTGTACGTTTGCCCACTGACAAAGAAATGATCAGTCTATAATTTTAATGGTAGGTTTATTTGAACAGTGAGAGACAGAATAACAACAACAAAAATCCAGAAAAACGCATGTCAAAAATGTTATAAATTGATTTGCATTTTAATGAGGGAAATAAGTATTTGACCCCCTCTCAATCAGAAAGATTTCTGGCTCCCAGGTGTCTTTTATACAGGTAACGAGCTGAGATTAGGAGCACACTCTTAAAGGGAGTGCTCCTAATCTCAGCTTGTTACCTGTATAAAAGACACCTGTCCACAGAAGCAATCAATCAATCAGATTCCAAACTCTCCACCATGGTCAAGACCAAAGAGCTCTCCAAGGATGTCAGGGACAAGATTGTAGACCTACACAAGGCTGGAATGGGCTACAAGACCATCGCCAAGCAGCTTGGTGAGAAGGTGACAACAGTTGGTGCGATTATTCGCAAATGGAAGAAACACAAAAGAACTGTCAATCTCCCTCTGCCTGGGGCTCCATATAAGATCTCACCTCGTGGAGTTGCAATGATCATGAGAACGGTGAGGAATCAGCCCAGAACTACACGGGAGGATCTTGTCAATGATCTCAAGGCAGCTGGGACCATAGTCACCAAGAAAACAATTGGTAACACACTACGCCGCGAAGGACTGAAATCCTGCAGCGCCCGCAAGGTCCCCCTGCTCAAGAAAGCACATATACAGGGCCGTCTGAAGTTTGCCAATGAACATCTGAAGGATTCAGAGGAGAACTGGGTGAAAGTGTTGTGGTCAGATGAGACCAAAATGGAGCTCTTTGGCATCAACTCAACTTGCGTGTTTGGAGGAGGAGGAATGCTGCCTATGACCCCAAGAACACCATCCCCACCGTCAAACATGGAGGTGGAAACATTATGCTTTGGGGGTGTCCCCTGCTAAGGGGACAGGACAACTTCACCGCATCAAAGGGACGATGGACAGGGCCATGTACCGTCAAATCTTTGGTGAGAACCTCCTTCCCTCAGCCAAGGCATTGAAAATGGGTTGTGGATGGGTATTCCAGCATGACAATGACCCAAAACACACGGCCAAGGCAACAAAGGAGTGGCTCAAGAAGAAGCACATTAAGGTCCTGGAGTGGCCTAGCCAGTCTCCAGACCTTAATCCCATAGAAAATCTGTGGAGGGAGCTGAAGGTTCGAGTTGCCAAACGTCAGCCTCGAAACCTTAATGACTTGGAGAAGATCTGCAAAGAGGAGTGGAACCAGATCCCTCCTGAGATGTGTGCAAACCTGGTGGCCAACTACAAGAAACGTCTGACCTCTGTGATTGCCAACAAGGGTTATGCCACCAAGTACTAAGTCATGTTTTGCAGAGGGGTCAAATACTTATTTCCCTCATTAAAATGCAAATCAATTTATAACATTTTTGACATGTGTTTTTCTGGATTTTGTGGTTGTTATTCTGTCTCTCACTGTTCAAATAAACCTACCATTAAAATTATAGACTGATCATGTCTTTGTCAGTGGGCAAAAGTACAAAATCAGCAGGGGATCAAATACTTTTTTCCCTCACTGTATATCCTAACCTCACTTTCTCAGGCAAAGACTCAACTTCAAAACTCAAAAGAACAGACAATGACTCTTCTGTTTCCCCTCTCTCGCCACCCTGTTTACGTCGCACCAAACGACGAGCATCACACACACCAGGAATCATCTCCTTCAGTTGGTCAACTTTTACATTCACTGCTACTCCAGTAATCACTTCTCTCAATGGCGCCCTTTTCTTAAGAGCGAAACAATTCACAGTTCTTTCCCCCATTTGTTTAACGCTGAGCGCCTTCTCCCTCTGCCCAACAGAAACACAAACAATTATCACTAGATCACTTCTGGTTACCCTCACCGATTCCACTTTACCCAACGCTCTTTTCACCCATCTTGAAACCACAATTGGATCAGCCAAAAGGCAAGGATACATTTTTTCCACAAACTTCACTCCTTCTGTCACAGACTCATCTTTATCCTGACCCGCTGTGCAATCCTCGGGCTCCGAGTTCTTCACCACACCTTCCGCCTCCGATACATCACCCTCATTCACTTCCATTTCTACTACTGCCTTCAGCTCACTTTGCTTACATTTCCTACCACTCTTCTTTAACAAACCTTCTCCCTTTTCCCGCCATTTTTAACTGACAAACTCACAATCTTCCTCCATCTCTCTCTTAGACCTCCTCTGCCTCTCTTTTTCCCTCCATTCCTCCTCATTCATCCAAGTATACGTCTCCTTATGATAATACTGCATTTCTCCAAACCTATATCTGTTTCTTGCCTTCTTTAAGGACTCAATTTTCCCCCTCTTTTCCCTTCCGGCATCTATTCTATCCTGGGCCTTGACCTCTTCATTGCTCTCCTCTTCTGATCCACTGTCCTCCTCTCCTGAATCACCATCGTCTTCCGATCCCTCATCCGAGCTGTTATCCTCACTATCATCGGGACTTACTCCCTTTCCAACTGCTCGTCTTTACACTGAAGACGCCATGCTCCTCCAGCTCATCCACAAACTAGATCTTGAAAAAGCGATTGACATATGAGGACAGAGGACGTTGGCTACTTATAAAAGGGTAATGTACTCCAAGTTACGGAACAATGCTTTTGACATGTATTATTATTTATTATATATTAAATTATTACATTTATCAAATTAAATCCTATGACTTCCTGACTGTGTCACCTTTAGTCACAGAATGAAATTTAAGTGAATAAAATTATGCAAATGATCAAGTGCTAAACAAAAACTAGTGAAAAGGGAAAACAAATGTGTGGATTTTTGTTTGTTTGTGTCACTCAAACTTTTTTACATGCTTATTGTTGCAATGGATACTAGCCAACACCTCTGCAAGCTGTGCAGCTGGAACACAACAGGGTTGGTAATATTTCCACCTGCCAGCCACTAAAGAAAAATAGCACTTAAATGGTTGGTTATGTGTAGCCTACATAAGAAAACATGTTCAAGCAGAAATGGCAGTGGCAAGTGGAAGCATAACCCTACTTAACCCCATTCAACAAACTGACTCAACTCTGAGCCGTCAATACAGCAGTCTCACTGTGAGAGCCATAGCAGACAGGCCTGTTCATGAAACTGTCAGTGATGGCATTGTCTCTGTGTGCCAGTCTGTGCCCTATCCTTGTGCCAATCTCGGACTGTATTGCCTTGATTGCTCCTCGCCCACACACCCATTGTACCACTGACCTCAACAGCTCTGGTTCGACAACCACCAAAAAATGAGTAATTTCACTTGGCCAGACATCCTTTGATGGAGAATTTCAAGAGAAATCCAATATGTAACTCTGGCATCTTTCTAGATCTCCATCTTTACGACCTAAAGATCACTGACGTATGATTTGACCTCATTTCCCCCCCCCAAGTTCCCAGTTGCCTTGAAAGCACCATATGATGCCAGCACTGTGCGGTGTGAGTCCCTAAATCCCATCTGAGGGACCTGTATTTGATCCACAGCCCATAGCAGCATCACCACAGGGGTTATCATCTCATCTGCACTGATAAACACAAACAACACTCTCAATGAGTCACACAGAACACCATAAACACAATGTGTAGCCTACGGGTAGGCGGTTTGTCTTCCTTCATTAGTCTATATGTCACCTGTCTGTGCCTCTGTTAGGCTATGGTTCAACCCAGCACTCAGAGAAACAAACACGACAAAGGGAGTGGAAGAAACAAAAATATTTAATAAAAGTTAAAATTGTCTTAGTCCAAAAACAACTGAAGTAAAGGAACAGAGTGGGCTAGTCGGCTCCGGAGGAAGGAGAGGCTGAGGCAGGCAGGCAGGCAGGCAGGCAGACCGACAGGCAGGAAGGCAGGCAGGTTGGGAGGTATGTTCGAAACTAAAGACAAAACAAACGACAGGTTAAGGAGAGTGGAGAGCCAGGCTGAAGACAAAGACAAAATAACTTTACTGGTGAGCCAAGTTACCGCTCTGGTAAGAACAACGATCTGGCGCCGGTGGAGAGCCATGCCCCGGAATTAGTAGTGCAGGTTGATTAGAGAATAGGATGCAGCTGCGTAGGCAGGAATCACTG